TTTAATGTTAAGTATCCTGGTTTGAATAACGGAAAATTATAGTTGATTAGTTAAAACAAAAATTTATGCGTGGCTTCATGAAATTAAACGATGTAATTTTAATTGGGTACTAGATCATGACCCGCACATACGTGCGGGGTTTCATATTTTTTAAAAAGTTCTAATAAATTTTAATTCAATATAGATTATTTTGTTGTTTCTATGATATATATTTTAGTGTATTAGATCTAGATTCACATGTACGTGCAGAGATATTTTTATAGAAATTGTTATATAGATTTTTAAAATATAAATTATTTTGTTGTGTTAGTGAACTTTATAATAGTGTAAATATTATAAAATTAGAGTAATGAACGAAATTCAGTTGCGTTAGTGCATAGTTATATTTTAAGATCCGGACCTACACGTATGTGCGAAATTATTTTTAAGATAAAACTAAGATATAATTTAGTTGCAAAAGTTAAATGATGTTACTTTTTTATTTTCTAAACTAATCAAAACATTTCTAATAGTTTGATTACATGTGTTAAATAGGATATAGATTCGGTTTGAGTTTGGTTATTTCATGTATATTAGCTAGGCGTAACTATTTTCTGTATCTGTCATAAATTCTTGGTCTCATAACCCATCTCGTATACGTGAAATAAAAATATGACGGTCCAGTATCCGGCATAAATAGAATATGTGTAACTGAAAACGTACGTACAGGGTTATGTATGTAAACAAATTTATTTTATATAGTGCTCATAAACTGAACTCATACCAATTGGGTATTTAGTTTGATTTTTAATTTATGTTCCCCTCTCATCCCGTCTCGTAATTCCTATTTTCATTTCATTCCATTAAAATCATGTTCCAAATTCTTGTTTGTTTGCTTACTTTTAAATACCATACAATACATACTGTGAGTTTTGCAGATTAATATATATGCTGCTAAAGTTACAAATATATTTTAACAAATTTATTAATGTTTCTTTCCTTAGCTAAATTTTGCATATTCTTCTTTTTATTGTTTAATCATAATTAATTTGATTTTTGGACTAAAAATAAAAATTTGAGATACATCTCTAAAAGGTATATGTTATTGCTGCATAATTTGTTTTGAATTCAAAATATATAATTAGTTTACATTATTTGAAAATAGTGTGCAATATATTAGAGATTTATTTAAGGAAGATCCGGTTGAAAAACAAAAAATAAAACGCAAAATAATTTAGAAATTAATATATACAATCTATTGTTAGATATTTATCAAACTTGCGAAGGCTATAATGATAATTACTTTAAATTTATTATTATTTGAGTTTATTTTATCATTAATATAAATAGTTGTTAATATCTAATATCGTATTTTAGAAATTGTGAAATAAATTTTTTTTTTATATTTTTAAATTTGTGAAAATATTATAACAAAACTGAATCTTAAAATATTTGTATTTAATTTTCTTACGAAATTTTAAATTTAATCTTAAAGTCCTCCATTGATAAATCTTTTAAACGATAGTGTTTTTAATTTTGAATTAAAATGATATTATTTTTCTTTTTATTTTTGACATAGAATAGTCTTTTTAATTTTGAATTCAAGTCTTATTGGTTAACAATTTTTAAAAAATTAATTTTAAATTTTCGTTTATAATTAATAAAAGAGAGAAAATTAGTCTTTTTTTGGAAATTAATAATTATTTAAAAGAATTATACTATTTTTTATTTAAATATATTAATTTTATGATTACTATTGTACCCTTAATGAAGTTATTTAAAAACACTAAAAACCAATGGCATTTCATGTAATATTTTACTCTTCATAAAGTTATTTAATATTTAGTGATTCCCAATTAATAATATAGATAGTAGAGAGGGAAAAAAATGAAACGATTAGTTAGTTAATTAATATCAAACGAGGAAATTCTCACCAAAAAAAAATAAAGAATCAAACGAGGAAATTAATTAATTAATTAAGGGAATATGGGTTTGACCGTTTGAGTATAGAGCCGTTAGAAAACACGTTGCCTATAAATATCAAAATTCAAATTCATCTTCAAAATCATAAATTTTCTTTGTATACAAAGTGTGACGAATTTGATTGTGAATAAAGAACGAACGAGAGAGAGATGGTAGCAGAAACAGAGTTTTTTTTTCCGGTGGTTCTAGAAGTTGAATTGTTGGATGGAGTTACTTCCGCGGTCAAATCTCCTGTGGTAAGTCGTAACTCCCCAGTTTTCCGACATGTTAAAGCTTTGATTTTTCTTTCTGGGTTCTGAAATCAATCTTCAATAACTAGGAATTTGACTGAATTGCTTCGTATTAGGGTTCTTTAAAAGATGTTTATAAAGCTTAGACGACCCTTGGTTGTGTTGTATGTTAAGCATGATCGATAAGTCGATAGCTCTGTTTTGTTATTGATGAAAAAGATCATATACGATTAGATTGATGATGTGCACAATTTGGTAGATTGTTGAGGAAGTAATCGAGAAAGTGCCTCTGTAATAACTTATACGAATACTACACCAAATTCTACTCAAATTGTCAGGTATTATTTCAAACATTCTATACTAAAGATTGAATCTTTTTGCATAATCAATCAACTTTAATGTCATGATCATCACTTCAAACATTGGTCCATTATAAAAGAACTTTCCCAGGTTATCGGTTCGGAACCAATCCACCCAAAGTCCAAAAAAGGGTATATACAAGTCTATTCTACACAATTAAGACACGATAATCTCTCTTACAGACTTAGATTAAGGTGGAGATGTTTTTTTTAGTATGTTACTGAAACCGATTTTGGTGAATCGTAAAAAAGGGTTAAAACTTGGAAAATAAAAACTAATGTTTCTTTGGCTAGACAAGTTAGAGCAGAGGAAGATGGTTTGTTGGGTTTCTTGGTGAGTGTAGCTTTAGGACTATAAACCCTTTTGTAGCTTTGATCTAATATCCCTCTTGCTAGCTCCTATATGACTTTCTTCTTACTCCATAGTTTATATTTTGAAACCCTATTTTCATAAGATCTTCAAGGCTTTAAGAAGATAACTTTATAAAATCTGAACATGATTCTTGGATCTCTTAAAGCTTAGACGAGCCTTGGTTCATTTATGTTTGCGTGTTGTCTGAGACTTTAAATCTGGTGGTCTTGACTAGTTAATTGGAGAAGCCTTGTCTGTAGCATATGATTTGATTTTTCTGACTGCATATGTTTTGATTGTCCAATCACTGAAATATGATTTATGTTTTCAATGATTTGTATACATTTTTAGGGTCTAAAAAGGAGACTGGAGGGCCTGAGAGATACATGGAAGATGAACAAATTCCCATAGACGATCTATCTTTTCAAGTTGGGTCTCTCTTTGGATTGCGAAAGCTAATTAAGTGCTATCTATGCGGTTATGTATCGTTACTTCGTTACTGTCAAATGTTCTTTTAAATATGTAACCTGACTTGATTTCCTGTTTAGCTTTTTGATGGCCATGGAGCATCAGTGAATAGTTTCAGTGAGTATTGTTTATGTTGAAGAAGTGAAGAAATGTGTTTCTTCATCTAGCTTTGGCAGAGGATCGCAGCATTAGCTTCTTCTTTTGGTACCAGTACTGCTTCTTGCCACTCATCTCGTTTTCGGAAGGTACGTGTTTCATTCATTTAGTTCTTTAAATTCACTATTAATCTTTAGGATCTTGACAAAGCTCTTGCATTTTTAGATACTTCTTACATTTTGTGTTTCATAGTTGGTTTTGTATTTTGTTTGCATTGGGAATTTAGGTATCGGTTCTATTGCCATATACAAAACTAGATTTTACACCTATTAATTTATACAAAATGTTTTTAGCTAAAGTTTAAAGAAATTTGAGTGTTAATTTGCATATCGTGAAAACAAACCGAACATATGGTATCCCGTCCAATCTTCTGGATCATTAGAGATATCATAAGTACAATATGTTTTCACGTAAGGTGTGAATGTAACACTTATTTTTTGATTAATTTGGCAATAAAATGTTTTTCAGTTTTGTTAAATTTTAAATTTGTCTTGGCAAACACCAAATTTTACACTTATATAATTAGTTTTACACATTTATGGTAAAATGTTTTTAGCTAAGTTTAGGTAAAATGATAAAACTTCAGTGTTAAATTGCAAAATTGTGAAAACAAACCAAAGATATGATGTCCAGTCTAGACTTTCGGATTTCATAAGTACAATATGTCTTCACATAATAAAAATTTAACACTTAGTTTTTCATTAGTTTGGTAATTAAATGTTTTCACTATTATTTTCAGATTCATAGTATTTAATTATACAAACTAAATTTTACTTATAGTTTATACATTTTTACTATAAAATAGTTTTACTTATATATAGTCTTATACATTTATACTATAGTTTTAAGCTATCTTTTATTATAAAAATAAAACTTAAGTGTTAAATTGCAAAAATGCATTAACCGAACATATCAAGTGTAGTTTTTCTGATCGTTAGAGGTGTCATATGTATAATATCTTTTCACTCAATAAAAATTTAACACTTAGTTTCTCATTAATTTGTATGTATCATAACATAAGTATAATATGTTTTAACTTAATAAAAATAACACTTAAAGTTCAGTTATTTTGATAGAAAAGGAGTATATATATATATCATCAGTCACCTAATACAATGACTTCAACAAAACAAAGACAACAAATGATCGTTGTTTTAATCAAATTAGCAAAATCTTTTCTAAGAAGAGATGTTACAATCTTCTTTTTCAATGGTTTCTATACCATTGACGTCCAAACTTTCTAAATCCTCATTTGTTACCTGTGAAGTTTAACAAAGGAACAATTAGTTGGGAAAAAGAAAAACAATAATGTTAGATACAACAATGCATTGAATTTGGAGGGTTGGATCTGAATTGGCTGGTGACAACATTAAATTCATTGACAACGAACACTAGCACTCGTGTCCTGAATTTTCACCACTCAACTACGAACTCCAAACTTTTCCCATCTTCTTATAACCTCTCAATCATCTAGCCCTAGGTAACCATAAGAAAAGGAAATAAACCAAAAATCACAGTGACCATACTCAATATCCCTCATATCTTTTGTTACTCAAAATACTCTCTGTGCAACACTATGGCTTTGGAAGGGGAGGTCATATCAGCCATTTCTCAACTAATATCTATGGATGACCCTTGGGAAGTGGATAATGGGGATGCGAATAAGGAGATCATTGCACGCATTATTGAAATAAGCTATGTTAGTAGCGCATTCTGCGAATACGCTATGTTACTAATGCAGCAGAAGCCGGAGTCGGAGCTCATGTTACTCATTACTCAAACCATCTCTATCTACAACTCTATGGATTTGGATTCCCAGCCGGAGCCGCTAAGAAAACTCATATCATTCATCGCTAAAAAGGCAGATCTCGACTACTATGTTGATCCCTTGTTGGAGCAGGATTTGGAGGTCTTGCCACTCTTTGGTAAAACATTAAGTCTTGAGCCAGAGCCGGAGCTTATATCACTCATCCGTCAAATAGTCTCCCTCGTCGTCTCTATGGATCCAAAGTGGAAGAAGCTTATTTCCTTATGCCCTCAAGTAGTAGTAAGATTGGAAAAAGGAAAATTACTTGTGGATGAAGAAATCTTGTGGGAAACCAATGACAAATGGTGTTGTTTCCCTTTATTCTGGCTGAAGTTCAGGTCAAGAGAAGAAGACGCTACACATTTTTTCTGCCGAGGTTGCAATGGCAAGAACCATAATGAAAACAACAAGGCTCCAGTTGAGATCAAACACCCTCTTCATCCAAGACATTCTCTTCGGCTTGCTTTGTTGCGGAAGTCACTGTTGAGTCAGCATTTGTTATTTGAATAATGATCTTAGACCGATTCTTTAGGTCTGAAGGAGTCAAGTTCTGTTTCCTATTTTGTAGCTATTGGTGGAACTAGTTGAACTCGTTGAGTCGTGTGTCCGTTATTTTCGTTTGTTGTTGATCATGTATTTCCCTATAAAAGCATTGGAACCTATGAATAAAGATAGATCATTCCGTGCATTTGTTTTGTGTTTTCTGATTCTGCAATTACATTTGGTATCAGAGAAAAACACAATCTTAGAGTGATCAAAGTAAGAAGAGAGAGAACGGTGAAAGAGAGATGAGTGAAGATAAGACGATTACGATTCCCCGGTTCGATGGTCACTACGATCATTGGAGCGAGCTGATGGAGAACCTCTTGCGAGCAAAGGGGTTGTGGAGTCTCGTAGAAGAAGGCATACCTGAGACAACAGCAGGACTCGAGACAACTGCAGCGCAGCAGAAGAGTCTTGAGGATCTGAAGAAGAAGGATCATCAAGTCAAGTACTACCTGTTTCAAGCCATTGAGCGGGAGGTGTTTGAGCAGATCTTAGACCGGAAAACTTCTAAGATCATTTGGGAGTCCATGAAGAGAAAGTTTGGAGGGAATGAACGGGTCAAGAGATCGCTTCTCCAAACCTTGAGGAAAGACTTTGAAGTTCTTGTCATGAAAGGCGATGAAAGCATTGACAATTATTTCAAGAGAGTAATGATGGTAGCAAATAAGATGAGGAGTAATGGCGAGAGTATGCCAGATTCAAAGATTGTGGAGAAGATTCTTCGCACCCTGACCGATAAATTCACATACGTAGTGGTATCGATCGAAGAGTCCAAAGACACGAGCAGCATGACCGTCGATGAGTTGCAGAGCTCACTGTCTGTGCACGAGAAGAAATTCAGAAAATCGAGCCATGAAGAGGAAGATCAGGCACTCACTGTTAGAGGGAGGGGCAGAGGCTTCTACAGAGGACGAGGAAGAGGCAGAGGAGGCCGCTCCTTCAACAAGGCCACTATTGAGTGCTACAATTGCCACAAATTGGGACATTTTGCGTATGAATGTCCAGATGGATCCAATGGAGCAAACTATGCAGAATTGGAGGAGAAAGAGGAGGTTCTATTGATGGCATACATAGAGTTCTGCGGAACAAAGAGGAGCGACGCTTGGTTTGTGGATTCTGGCTGTTCAAACCACATGTGTGGGGAGAGCAACATGTTTTCAAGCCTGGACACGACTTTCACACACAATGTGAAACTCGGAAACAACCATAAGCTGACGGTTGGTGGCAAAGGGGTGGTGAAGATCACTCTTAATGGGGTAAGTTATGTGATCAATGATGTCTATTATGTACCGGAACTGAAGAACAATTTGCTAAGTGTTGGACAACTCCAAGAACGAGGCCTAGATGTACTGTTTAAAGGGGGAGGAGATCGGAAAACCTGCTGTATTTTCCATCCCACAAGAGGAAAAATTGCAGAATCTGTGATGAGCTCAAACCGAATGTTCATTCTCTTGGGGGAACCGAATGAAAAGACCAAAGAAGAAAGATGCTTGCAGATCAATGTCTCAGACAAGGCAGAGCTGTGGCATCATCGATATGGACATCTCAGCTACAAAGGACTTCACACGCTATGCAGTAAAGAGATGGTCGTGGGTCTACCTGATATTGGTGATGTAAAAGTCACGTGTGAGGCATGCGTCAAAGGAAAACATCACCGGGTTCCTTTTCCGAAACAGAGCAAGTGGAGAGCCACCAAGAAACTGGAGCTCATTCATTCTGATCTATGCGGTCCGATCAGTCCACCATCGAACAGTAACATAAGGTACCTGATAAGCTTTATTGATGATTTTTCAAGGAAGACTTGGATTTACTTTGTCTTGGAAAAGTCAGAGGCATTTCATTGCTTCAAAACCTTCAAAGCGTTTGTAGAAAAACAAACTGGTCTGGTCATCAAGTGTTTGAGAACAGATAGAGGAGGAGAATACAACTCAAATGAGTTCAAGGAGTTCTGCAGAGAGCATGGAATCAAAAGGCAGTTGACTACGGCTTTCACGCCTCAGCAAAATGGCGTTGCTGAACGCAAAAATCGCACAATCATGAATATGGTGAGAGCAGCGTTACTGGAGAAAGAAGTGCCAAAAGCGTTTTGGCCTGATGCTGTGCAGTGGGTAAATCACGTTCTCAACCGTTCTCCTACAGTCATTGTAAGAGATATGACACCTGAAGAGGCGTGGAGTGGAAGAAAGCCATCAGTGGAGCATTTCAGAGTGTTTGGATGCATCGGGTATGTTCACATCCCTGATGTTAAGAGAAGCAAACTTGACGACAAAAGCATCAAGTGCGTCCTGTTGGGCTTCAGTAGTGAATCCAAAGCCTTTAAGATGTTCGATCCGGTCCTAAAGAAGGTTCACATCAGCAGAGATGTAATATTCGAGGAAGATAAGAAGTGGAATTGGGAAGATTCTTGCTACGTTAATGAAGCAGATGCAGAACTTGAATGGGAAGATGATTATGAAGTTACAGAGGTTGCAGATGAGATCGTTGCAGAAACTGGGATGGAGGGAGGAGAAGAAGAAAACGTTGATGTTCCCTCCCAGATTGCACCGATAGCGACAACAAGCAGAATTAGAAGAGCTCCAATTTGGTCTGCAGATTATGTCACAGGAGAGGAGATTTCTGACACTGAGGAAGAAGCAAACATGGCCAGAGTCGACATTGAGAATCTTGCCTTTATGATTATAGCAGATCCAACCAGTTTTGCAGAAGCAGCAAGACATTCTCACTGGAAACAAGCGATGGATGCAGAGATACTCTCCATTGAAAGAAACCATACCTGGACGCTCACTGCACTTCCGGCAGGTGTAAAAGCAATTGGGGTCAAGTGGATTTACAAAACTAAGTTGAATGAGAAAGGAGAAGTGGACAAGTTCAAGGCTCGTCTGGTGGTTAAGGGATATGCGCAAGAATACGGAGTTGATTACACCGAAGTGTTTGCACCCGTAGCCAGGATGGATACAGTGAGATTGATCATCGCAGTTGCAGCACAAAAGGGATGGGGGATCTATCAACTCGATGTCAAGTCTGCGTTCTTACATGGAGAATTACAGGAGGAGGTGTTTGTGGAGCAGCCACAGGGATATGAGGTAGCAGGAAAGATGGAAATGGTTTACAAGCTTCACAAGGCTTTATACGGATTAAAACAGGCACCCAGAGCCTGGTTTAGTCGTATTGAGTCTTACTTCATCAAAGAAGGTTTTGAGAACAGCTCTAGTGAACAAACTTTGTTCATCAAACGGAAGGGAGGTAAAGTTCTAATCGTAAGCATTTACGTTGATGATCTGTTGTTCACTAGTGATGATGAAGAAATGTTGAGTGAGTTCAAGAAGTCCATGAAAGATGAGTTCGACATGACAGACTTGGGAATGATGAGGTACTTTCTTGGCATTGAAGTGATTCAAAAACCTGATGGGATCTTTATATGCCAGAGGAAGTATGCCGCAGAGCTGATTGAGAGATTCGAGATGCAGAACTACAACTCTGTTTCAAATCCGATTGTTCCTGGATAGAAAGTTGGGCGAGATGAGGCTGGAGTAAAGGTGGACTCAACTTTTTACAAGCAAATGGTGGGGAGCTTGATGTATCTCACAGCCACAAGACCAGATCTCATGTTTGTGGTATGTCTCATTTCTCGTTTTATGGCAAATCCAACTGAGTTACATCTAGCTACAGCAAAGAGAATCATGAGGTACTTAAAAGGAACATTGGAGTTTGGGATATGGTATGGAAGAGGAGGAAATGGGGATCTCTTGGGTTACACCGACAGTGACTATGCGGGGGACATAGACGACTGCAAGAGCACCTCCGGTTACGTTTTTCTGCTGAGTGGAGGGGCTGTAGCTTGGTCATCCAAGAAGCAACCGATCGTGACATTATCATCAACCGAGGCAGAGTATGTAGCAGCAGCCACTTGTGCGTGTCAGGCTATCTGGATGAAGAGAATATTGAAAGAAATTGGTTATGCACAAGAGGAGAGGATGACTCTGTTTTGTGACAACACCTCCACTATCAAGTTGTCAAGAAATGCAGTCATGCACGGGAAGTCAAAACATATCAGGGTTCGTTATCACTTTCTCAGAGAACTAACTAAGGAAGGAGTTGTGGAGTTGGTTCATTGCAGCACAGAGGAGCAGTTGGCCGATATCATGACTAAGCCATTGAAGATGGCATCATTTCAACGGATCAGGGAAGCGTTCGGGTTGAGCATTGTGAACTGTGACTCTTAATCGAGTTCAGTTCAAGGGAGGGATTGTTGAGTCAGCATTTGTTATTTGAATAATGATCTTAGACCGATTCTTTAGGTCTGAAGGAGTCAAGTTCTGTTTCCTATTTTGTAGCTATTGGTGGAACTAGTTGAGTCGTGTGTCCGTTATTTTCGTTTGTTGTTGATCATGTATTTCCCTATAAAAGCATTGGAACCTATGAATAAAGATAGATCATTCCGTGCATTTGTTTTGTGTTTTCTGATTCTGCAATTACAGTCACATGAAACGAGGCAATGCTATTGTTGTGATGAAAGTCTCCAAGAGCTATTTTATTATTGCTCAGCTTGCGACTATGCTATGAATATAGCTTGTGTGGAGAAGCCACCGGTCTATTCTATAGACTATTCGAAGTGGCATGAGCATACTCTTGCTCTGTTTCCAAGACAGACTCCCTTTGCTTGCAGCCTCTGTTCCTTGACACATACAAGCTGTCCTTTTTATATATGTCCTCCTTGTGACTTTGTGGCCCATCAACGGTGTATCGGCTTACCACGTGTCATAAGGATATCTCGCCATCCCCATCGTATTTCTTTTACCAATTCTTTTGGTCAAGGAGATTGGTCTTGTTGTGTTTGTCGCAGAAAGATCGACAATGATTACGGGGGTTATTCTTGCATCAAGGACGGTTGTTCATATGTGGCTCATTCGAAATGTGCAACACAGAAGAATGTATGGGATGGTAAAGAACTTGAAGGAATACCAGAAGAAGATGAAGAAGTTAAACCGCCGTTTGTGGAGATAAGTGATGGAATCATAGAGCATTTTAGTCATCAGCATCATCATTTGAGACTTCATGCGAACACGGGTAGAGATTACGATGTGAATAAGCTGTGTCAAGCATGCATCATGCCAATCTTTTCCGGTAACTTCTACTCATGTTTGCAATGCGATTATATTCTCCACGAAACATGTGCAAATCTTTCTCGCAAAATGCATCATCCGATACATCCACATATGCTCACGTTAAAAGTAGGATCTCGGGGTCTTGCGGAACATAGTGTGGATCCATGTTCAGCTTGTCCTTGGAAGTGCAAAGCTGGTTTCTTCTATGAGTGTGAACAACGGGATCAAGATGAATATCTTTTTAGGCTACATGTGCAGTGCGCCACAATGTCTGAGCCATTAGTCCATAAAAGTCATGAACATTCTTTATTCCTAACTTCCAAACCAGGAGAGCAAAGAAGATGTTCAGTTTGCAAGAAGTTAGAACAATTCTCAACAAAAGAAACATTCAATTGCATTGAGTGTGACTGCTTTGCTTTGTGTTTTGGATGTGCTACTTTACCTCAAGAGGTGAGGTATGAGCATGATAAACATATGCTCACTCTTTCTTACGGGGAGGAGACGAGCACCGTGACTTATTGGTGTGAAATTTGCGAGCAGAAGATAGATCCAAAGAAGCGGTTTTACACATGTGGTGAGTACTGTTGCGTCACCCTACACATTGAATGTCTGCTTGGGAAGGACTTATACGTGAAGCCTGGTTCATCTTGGATAAGCTTCTCCTTCAATGGAGCGAAGATAAATGTTCGGCCCAACAATCATCATATGACTCGACCTTTTTGCTCTCATTGCAAGAAGCGTTGTCCACACAAAATAGTTCTGGAGTCATCTGGTTCAAAATTTTGTTCCACATCTTGTGTTGGTGAATTTTTGTCTACAAAGGTGAACACAGCTGGTTATCGTAAATTTCTACAACGGAGAGGCTACGGGAATTATGAGTTCTCAGCATTGACATAGAGATTTGTGGAATCTTGTTCGAATTCCGACAGTCTAGGTCGTTCTCAGATGTGTCTCCGTTTTTGTGTTGCTATCGGTTCGGTTGCATCGGGTTGTGTCAGATAAATCGTTTTTAGAAAGCTCAATTGATAATAAGAAACATGTAAAGAGAAGAAAATATTTAGCAATCAACATGTTTTATATAATACAGTACTGATTTGTTTCCTTAGAGCTGCAGTTAGTATTAATTTCATTCTGCTTCTCACAGTCAGGCATCAAAAGATTCACCAATGAATCTAAAACTAACATAAAGAAAAAATAATCCCTAACGTTGCTCATTGTTTTAGGTGATCAGTGAGTGAACCACGATTTTTGGTGAAGATAGCGATTAACTCACGCACGAGCTGCGTGTCATCATGATTCATCACATACTTGTTTAAGAAAGCTGGATCAGTAATCGACAATGCAGACGACAATGGAGGGAGTTCACTTCCGAGCATTCCTTTTGAGATGAGAACTTTAATTACATTACACCTTGGGACAGTCCTCTTCTCTAGGCTGTATCCAATTACCTGAGGGAATGAAGCCACAGCCTTTAGTGGCCAATTCATCTTCTTTACCAGAAATTCAGTCTTCTTCTTCACCGACTCTGCAGAACATCCAATGCACGGAGGAAAGCGCTTGACCATGACCACAATCTCATCTCTGGTGAATCCTAGACTTACAAATGTTTCAATGGAGTTGGCTATTTTCTTCTCCGAGAGTCCTAGAAACGTTGGAAACTTCTTGAACATTTCCCATACATCTCCCACATCAAAGCCTAACCTTTTATAGAGATTGACCTTTTCTTCTACTGTTTTGTCGCTAAATCCTTGAATAACGCGCAGAGCACCAACAAAATTTGCAGTGGTGGGATCAAAACCCATCTCAACAACCTTCTTGAGGGATTCTTCAAATTTTTCTTTTCCACATACAGGTTGGCGATCGGAGATGAGCAAGGAGAATAACAACCTCTGAGGCACACCTAACTCTCTTAAAACCGATATATTCCGGATTTTGTTCTCTAGATTACCAACTGGCAAAGAATGACATAACTTCTCGTGCTTGGAACTCTTATCCGCTTCTACAATCTCTTTGACGATATCATAGTATCTGCTGAGTGTTTTTCCCCCTCTCTTTCCCAAGATTTTCGGAACTGTAGAAACAATCTGAGTGAGCTCAGAGCTTGAAGCTCCTCTGGACTGCAGAAACTGAAGCTTGGGACCAAGGGAATTTTCACCATCTGCTATGAGCAATAGTGGATAATCCGTAATGATGCTGGAGATCTGAGAAACTGTGAACCCATGACTTCTCAAAAGACTCAAAACAGAATCAGGATTGCTCTTGTTCTCGAAACTGACTTTTCTTGAAATCGATTCTGCGACCTTTTTAGCTAAACCAAGTGAATCAACGAGGTAAGAGACAGTAAAGTTCTTACCTTTTTGACAATCTCTAAGGCTCACATCAGCAACACTAGCAATAGATCTTCTAAAAGAAGATGCATTTTCTAAAAGCTTCACTGCAAATCTCAAATTACGCCATTTCTGCAGTTCAATAGATCTTCTTCCATGGAGTATCAGAGAATACATGACACCAAGCAAATGCAATTATTAAAGCGATTTGGCTGATCTTTAGTGTTCAAGAATCTGCAATCTCCGTTGACGACTTCATTCACTTACTCGCCAAATTTTGGCAAGGAAGAAGAAAACGAAACGATTTCTAGGGTTTAGTTCTGGACCCGGTTAAGGACAAATAAAAAAAAACGATTTAATTGACTAAAAATATATATATATATATATATAGTATGAAGAATTTGTAATTAGGAACGACACTCACAAAACTCAAAAATTTGAAGAATTTATAGAATCATAATTTCACAAGTAAACCATAATTTTCGAAATTGAAATTAAAAATCATCCAGCACTACTATGCATCAAAAAGAAATTATAAAGCAAGAAGCTAAAGTTCTCATGTGTTGTTGTTACTAAAAGATAAGAAACAACTTTAAAAAGAGTAATAGAAAAACCTGCAACGAGAAAAATCCACAAACCTGATTGGTAAGTACACAATCACAAAAACACCAAAAGCTCAACATTCTTATTCTGTTAATAGAGCATCTCTGTATTGATTATGAAATCTGAATTGATGATCACCGGACTTGAGATGGAGAGCATAGCAAACCAGATGCGTCTGCGCCAATCACTGCTAGATCACAGACCGTGCAGATGTTTCCTTCCTGGTTTGGTACAAACCGGGCAGTGCAGTAAGGACATGAGACGTCTTTCTGTCCTCTGTAAATCGGGACATATGTGGAACCACATATCACAAACGGATTCCTGAAGTCGTAGTTAAGCTTGGTTTCATCGGTCATGTTACGTTCAGCGGCTTGCACAACTTGTCTAGCCATCTTGGCCTGGTTATCCACTGGGCTTGTTTCCAACAGTCTTCTGGCGAAATTAGAAGCAGTGGCGAGGTTCTTTGCCTTGTAGCAGACGCCCATTGCACTAAGCAGCGCAAGCCGTAAGTGAGGTGTTTGGAGGTTGCAGTGAGTGAAGTAAGCAGCGAGCTCTTGCTGCCTCACTGGATCATCTTTCATCTCTCTCCTCTTGAGCTCCATTTGAAGACCAAGGACATATTCTTTAACGATCACGATTAATTCCTTAACCTCATCGACTTCTCTTCTTGACTCGACTACCACTAGAGGAATGGTGTGGAGGATAGAAAGGAATAGACGGAGAGCCTCAGTGAATTTCCCAGTTGTTGTGGCTTTGTAGCCGGACTTGAGCTTCTCGTCTAGCTGAGAGAAATCATAAACAAGAGCTGGTGGGCCACGGACGTTGGGACTGGAAGACTCGCTCCATCCACGTTCAATGGCAAGTGGAACAACAGGAGATGAAGAAAAAGCACGCAGATAACTATGGCTGCCATTGAACAGATCAAGAAACATCGATTTCAAAGGTGTAAAGTTCTTTATACCAAGCTGTCTGTGGAGCAGACGCATTGCAGTGTCAAAGCTTCCCGCTGCAGCTTGCTCAGCAGCAAGAGAAGATTTCTGGCTCCAGATCTGACTTACGGGCATACCTTGGGGAGGTGTCACAAAAATCGATGAACGTGCATTAGCAGAGGCTTTAGGAGTGTCAAGCTCTGGTGGGAGCTCCAAGTCTTCAAGTCCTCCCCATCCACCTTCCTCATCGTTTTCTTCTTCACCTGCTTCTGCAGCCGCCAAGATGTCTTCGATGTCTCTGTTCTCCATTCCATCAACATTTATGTCAAGTTCCTCACCCCAATCACCTTCAGCATCTTCTTCATCAACAGTACCTCCTCTGTCTGCACTCTCAAGTCCTCCTTCAAATATTCCTTTCATCACTCTCAGAAGAGGCCAATCACCACCGCACATGATGGGTGTCGGTGGCATGAGAAGCGATGGAGTTTTTCCTTCAGGCAAAGAGGGCACATTGTCTCCTAGCTCAGTTGCCAGTCGCTCAGCAATGTCATTTAAACCATGAACCGAAGCCGTAATATAAGCTAGAGGCAAATGACCAGCATTCTCCAGTATCTTAACACGCTCTTTAACATCTCCTAGGTAGAGAGCATTGTGAAACTGACCCATTACGTTGTTCTTTACTTCCGCAATCTTCATCAACTTTGAAAGCTTGTCCAAATTACCAGTAATGAGATAAAGAAAAGATAACCTCTCAAAGTTCTTTGTCTGCTGGTATGCAAACTCAACAATTCCAGAATTACCTTGGCGAAGAGCCTCCACCCCAAGTCTATACCAGTGGTCTTTCTCGTTAATCTGTGTAGCGGATGCAACAGCCACACTGATGTTGCCACTTTCAAGAGCCAGGTTGAATCGGATCCTCTCATCTTCAACAAAATGGAGGGCAACTTCAGGGAATCCCTTCTGCTGCAGGTAAGCAATCATAGCCTGTCCACATAGCTGGGAGTTCTTTATCATGCTCATGACATGATCATATCTCTTTCTCAGCAGTGAAAGCTTGAAAATGTACTCGGTTGCATTAATGGTGATAGCCTTGTTTTTCCCATCCCGATCTAAGCAAAAGATTGTATTACCAGACACCTTGGTGATATAGATTGGGACATCCAGGGTTCGGATGATTCCACTATCTCCATTAGGAAGACAGTACTTGATATGATTCAAAGTTGTGTAAATGAAGACACCATTATCGTCCCAAGCTCCACTTTTCACACGTATCGTCTCATGAAGCGTGCACTGGAGAACAAGTTTTTTGCTCGCGATAATGATAGTATGTTTGCTGAGCAAAGCAACACTCTCCATATCACTGGACCAAACAACGTACCTTACAAATGGTGTCTGAAGTTCACCAAGAACAAGCCTTTGCTGGAGGTCAAATATAACTACTTTATCCTCAGATCTACAAAGCAAATTTCCAGTCCCGGCATAAAAGATAGCATCTGTGGGAATAGGCAGGGAACTCTTTTTAACCACCTCATTCTTAAGATTTTTGACTAGCACTTGGCTGGTGCTTTTCTCGAGAACAGCAAACCGGTTACGGGCAATGAATACTGCAGAGCCACCTGTCTCTCTCTTTGCATCTTGCACAACGTCACTCCTGCCAACACTATCTTTCGGTATGATGTACAACTCATAAGAACCACCGTCCAGATCTGAGCAGATCAAAACTGCATTTTCAGTCGGACTGTATGATAGAGTCCTAGGACTTTGATTCAAGCTTGGAGTACCAGGACGCCGTATAGGGATAACTTGGGAATCTCTTTGAGTTGAATATTCGTAATACCGCAAGAATCTATCCTTGGCATAGAACAAAGAATCCCCACTCAAAGCAAATGCAGGACGTTCTCTCTCAAGTTTGAACACGATCATGCCGCTGTCATGACCTGCTGCTAGTAGATTCATCTCAGGGTGAACTGCAAGAATCCAGAATCTATCATGTTCACGACGGAAAGTCTGAAGTCCAGTTCGCTTGGTAGCATCCCAAACACGGATGCTCTTATCTTCAGAGTTTGACACAATTATGTCCTGTTTTGCATGGAACATAACAGATGAAACGTTATTCATATGGCCTCGCAATGTATCCACCTCCCAAGCTTTAGTTTCTGCAATGACAATGATAAAAAACACATTACCAACTCAGCTTCGCAATTTCAAGACTCATCTAAGGATTAAGGCGTACAGAATGTTTGCATATCAGTAATATCACTGATGATTGATAGCATATAAATTTTACAAGAACAAAAGGATAACATCAAATAATTACCATTCATACGCCACAGCTTTACTTGGCGGTCATCTGCACCGGAGACAATAAGAGGCAAGGTGGGATGAAAAGCAGCCCAGTTTACACCTCTGTCATGACCTTCAAGGACGTACTTGACTATAGCATCAACTCCACCAAAAAGATCACTATTCATCTGAGTCAACCTCATGATGTCATCAGCAGGAGATACTGTCTTCTTCCTAAGAGCACCGATATCCCAAACACGGACAGTCTGATCTAAGGAAGCTGATACGACGAGATCTTCTTTCGGATGGAAAGAAGCACACATAACATAATGATTGTGACCAGTCAACACAGAAACACAAGTCCGTGATTGCCAGTTCCATATACGAATAGTCTGATCATCACTAGCACTCACAATCCATGGGTACTCATGATGGAACTGAACTGTGCGGATATAATCAAGATGGCCAAGAAGAGTGAAAAGGCACCTGTGGTTTTTGTAGTTCCACACTTTAATCTTGTAATCATCCCCTGCAAGATCAAAATCAAGATCATTGTAATGCTACAAATCATGTATAGATCCATTCTTTTGAGCTTATATGATTTCAATAACAAAGAGAACAAAGCTAAACCTAGAGCAAAGCATTATATATACCTCCGGAGACGAAGAGAGGCTGAGAATTGTGGAAATGAACACCACGAACAGGACCTTCGTGCTCATCGAATCTATCGATCAAAGTACCCATACGATAATCCCAAAGCTGGATCACGCCACTGTGTAAACTCGCGAGAATCCATGGTCGTTTAGGGTGAAAACTCAGACCCTTAACTCTGTTACTCTTGGTTTCGAACTTTGTCAACATAATCTCTCTCCCCGATAATGGCACTGTACAAAAAACCAGATCACAGAAAAACGAATCACGAACAATTAGAAATAGATCTAAATTGCAACAATGGAGAGTGAGATCAAAACAGAAATTTGAAATCGGAAGGAGAGAAACAATGGTGATTACCACAGATCAGATGAGTTCACGAACGAAGCGAAGAGGAAGAAGAAGAAGCAGGTATACAGATCTGAGTGAGTCGCAACGCCCAGATCTCGAGTTCTCTCTTTTGCGTTAATTTGGATAAAAACATGTATTCAGTGATGAATTCTAATATATCCTTAAAAAAAAAAGGTGAGTTCTAATACTATTGGTCTAATGATGCAATTTTGATATTTTTTTTCCTTTTTTTTTAACGTCGAAGGAATAAATTAGGGGAATTGCATTCTATAACCAACAAAAAAATTATAATTCAACAACTAACCATACTAACCATGCATCTATGATATTCTTTGTATTATGTGTATTAATGACAGCTTTACCCTTTAGTCATCTTCCCATCCTTTCTCTCTTTTTCTATTTTTTTTTTTTTATTCTCCCTTTGTTTATATTTATAACTAGTTTTTTATATGAATTGTTTAAATTTTGTAATTTCATTTTTAAAAAAGGGGAATTGGAGGCAGTAACCAAAAAAAAAACTTTATTTAACAAAATAAGCATAGTAACCATTAACCTTCAATATTCTTTATATTATCTATAATAATGACAAATATGTCTTTGTTGCATGACTAACAGTTACCATTGCTCTCTCTCCTTTACGTCACACTTTCTTTTCTTCACACCGATTTTCTCCTCCCCTCCTTTCTTCACTCTTCTTTTCTTTCACTTTTTTTTTATTCTTTCATTTATATTTGCACTGAATATCTTCACACAAATTGTTCAGATTTCATATTCTCACTTAAAAACATATATATTTACGTTCATGATTCTTTAAAAGAAAAAGACTTAAGATTTTTTTTGTATGATTTTTTAAAAACTTGATAAAAATTTATAACGAACTAAAATATGATTATAAATACAAACATTTTTGTACTACACAAAACACGAGAATAAAAAAATAGCGTGAGGTTATTTTTTAGGTACAATGTCCCTTATTCGACATGTGTTTACCTCGAAAAATTGGGTTTTATATGTTGTATTATTTAGGGGTATTACTTCCTTTCTTGGATATGCATTTAATTTGGTCATTTGGGTTCTCTATGTTGTATCCCTTAGGGTATAGCGTTCTTTATTCGTCGTGCGTTTAATTCAGCATTTTGTGTTCTCTATGTTGTATTTGTTAGGGTATAACACTCTTTTTTATACATATGTTTTTGGTTTGAGTGAAGGTTCTTAGATTTAATATTTAAAGTTAAAGGTTTATTTATTTAGATTTGTGGAAAATAGTATAGTACAACATTCTATTCATATAGATTCTATATAGTACGCCTTGTATTTAAATACAAACACTATTCACTATTATAGATTTTTCACATCCTATTGTTAAAATTCAAACTATGTTTCATTCAGAAAAAAATGTATATATTTTTAAGATAGATTTGAAATTTCGATCTCTCTTTGGTTGCTCTTTGGATTGATACTTTCACATGCGTTTAATTAAAGATATTTGGTTATCTTTTAGGTATAACATCTTCTCGAAAAATTGGGTTTTCTATATTGTGTATTTAAGGTATGATATTTTTTTTTGTGCGTTTAACTTTGTCGTTTGGGTTCTCTATGTTGTATCACTTAGGGTATAGTGTTCCTTCTTTATCATGCGTAATATTTTGTATTCTTTGGTATCGTCACCATACTATATAGAACACTAAAATGTTCTATTCAATTTTTCAAAATAAATTCATTATTTTAATTTTAAAATTTATTAATACCGTTTTTAAAGATATGTTTTAGATTTGGGTTTAGACTTTTGGATTTAGGGTTTAGTATTTTAGAGTTAATAGTTGATTTAAGTATAATATATAGGAAATAATATAGTACTATATCTATTTTTGTGTGATTATGTATAGTACACCATATTTTTAGTTACAAACACTATTCACTATTTAAAAAATTTATGTCCGTTTTAAATAATTCAACCAACGACATATTCAGAAAAAATTCTACTTTTTTTTACATAGGATCACAAAGTTAAATTAATTTGATTTTAAAAGCTATGTACCAAACAAATGTGAGAGGGTGGATTAAAATTTTGTTCAAAAAAAAAACAAAATAAATCATCTTCACTCTCCAGCACATATACGTGGGCTATACTTAAGGGTGTTTTTGTCATTTCTCTATATCTGATGGTTATTCTCTTTGTTTTTGAAATTAGTGTGCTATATTCTTAATTTCATTTATCTTTTTGGTCACTCACCTAAATGACCCAATAAATTACTCTAAATTATTTTCTTTCCAAAAAAAGCTCTTCCCTAATTTTTTATTTTATTTTTTTTAGTTTTTTTGGTCAAGTTTAATTGAGAAACCTTTGATTAGAATAAAAATTAAACCTAATCAGAACCAAATTGAATCCTATAAAAAAAAACTCTAAATATTCATTCACTTGATAAACAAACGAATATATTATCATTTATTTTTAATAATTTGGAGCGTTAAATTGTTTTTATATTTGGTGAGTATTTCTAAATTTTTGTATATTGTTGAACATAAGTGAAACTATAAATTTTTGTTCAAAAACAAAAAAGTGAAAATATAAATTATGCATAAGATGAAAGATCACCAAAAATGAGAAATAAATCTAAAAAAATTATGTCTCTATCTGTAATCATATTAATCAATTTTTAAATTCCGATTAGCATAAATGAAATGTCTAACATTTAGCAAGACCTGAAAATAATTTGATCATATGATTCTGAAGGAGAGACCAATCAAACCTACACAAAAGTTCCAAAAATGTAGATTGTGTGATAGGTGGCTGTGGTAAACGCCGTTCAGGCGGCTGAGGAGGTCGAGGCAACAACAATTAGAGATCTAATGACATGTTCATTCACTCTATTTCATTCCATCACACTATGCTCTTTGCATCATCTTTGATATCTTAATAGATTCTAAGTGTATGCTTAATAGGATCCGAAAAGGCAGTCTTAGTTTGTACCTTACATATATTTTGAATCACATATACTGTCTACAAAGTTGAAGTTTTTTGCTTCCGTTTCGAAAACACCGGTAGAATGAATAGAGGATGAATCAAGGAGGACAATGACCAAATACTAAGCCTAGAATGCATATATATGTCCAAATCTATATTACCAAAACCTAATTATCAAATTATTAGAAATGAAAGAGTAAGTTACTCTTGTTCAAAGAACAATCTTTACAAAAGAAAAGAACATAACAGAGAAGAAAAAGAAAAAGAGATATCCACGAAACATATAATGTATTGTGATATAGACTAATTAATAGTCTCCTCTTTTCCTTTTGCCTTATAGCACCAAAGCTTGGTTGATTTTGCCCTAACCTTGGAACATAATAAGAGCACACAAGTGGGCAACTATAAGGAGATTCTTCAACATTCACAGCTTCTCCAAGATCCACTTCTTTCAAGTATCCATCCTCCCCAATGATGCAAGCTGTTTTGTAGAGGCCGGTCTTAGTCGGTTTGAATCTATGTATATCACAAATCACTGCCACTTTCTTCTCCTCATCAAGAAAGAAACTCCTAGGTTCAACCTCAAACTCAAAACCAGTGATTGTCTTCGTATTCACGGCTAAGAACTTGCTCCATAACACCGCATTGGGCTCAATCGTAGTTGTAATCCATATCTCCATCTTATCTGTATCTAAACGCTGAAATAACACTGCAAGCTTCTCTTCTCTAACTGAAGATAGAACCATATCATCATATCTAACATCACAGTGAAACGGAAGATGCAGAGCCGGTCCAAATCTCTCTCTTGTAAAATCGAAACAGAGTAAAACACATTCTTTATCTACTTCTTCAACTTTGATTCTTTCTTGAGCAAAAAAGTAAGTATTTCCTTTCAATGACACGCCTCGTTTGTATAACACTATAGTAGACGAGATGGTAAGAACCCTCCATGAGTTAGACTTAAAATCGTAGATTTCATACTCTACATTGTTGACAAACTCAAAGAAAACCCTCAAAATTTTGTAGTTGTTCTTCTTGTCGTATCCGATACCGAACATATCTGATCTGTGGTAAGGGATTCGAGGTTCGATCCAACTGGTTTGACCCATATACGGGTTCCAAACGACGAGCCTAGTAGTGTTGCCCTCTTTCTCCTTGGTGTGACATAACAATAAGCCATCACAATAGAAGACGTTAGATATCTTGACTTGATTAAGCTCACCTATACGCTTTATAGATGGGTCAACCACGTCTTTGCGGTTTTGGATTCCATGGAGATTAACACTCATCAAACAGACCTTGAAATCATTTAGCATGATCACTAGCAAATCCTTGGCTGCTTTATCACATTGCTTCTTTGTAAAGCTAGGATCTTTGAATAAACAGTTCCATTGTTTGCAAGTAGATCTCACAGCTCTCAGAGATGTTATCGGAACCCTAGAGAGTATCTCCTCTACCAAACCCTTGGGAAGATCGGACATCATCGTCATTGTTTCTTCAAGTTTCCAACATAAGAGAAAATTAGGGTTTTATAACTTTCACGCTTGCCCACTATTTATATAGTCAAGCACGGTAGTTAGGTTACGTGTTTTTTGTTTAATTTTTTAACTTAACGTTGATAGATGTGGTTTCTATTTCTCCCTGGGATTTTACAGATTTTAAGAAAAAAAAAAAGGAAAAACTTTAGCTGCACAATGGAAAATTTCGTATGCTCTGTTTTTCTTTATAACCACAAAAACGTTCTCATATTTTTTTGTATCAACAAAAACAACATTCCCCAAATTTATGGATCTAACTATGAACCTTTGTCCTCAATACTCTATACAAAGATAAAGTGTTTGCCTCTGCTTCGAAAACCGGTAAATGAATACATTATGAATCAAGAAGGACAACAAAATTACTAAGCTTAGAGTATATGCATATAAATCTATATTACCAAATTCTTGATATCAGATTATTAGCTTTGATTACGTTACACCGTGGGGCAATCCTCTTCTCCAGCCTCTACTGGCCAATTCAACTTCTTCACCAAAAAATTAGTTTTCTTCTCGACCGTCTCTGCAGAAAATACAGTGCACTCAAGATAGCGCTTGATCATCACTGTGAATCCTAGGCCTGTAAATGTTTCAATGGAGTTCTCTAGACACCACTGTGAACTCATCATCATGTTGCAGGCTTGATGGACCTTGAAGCTTTGGAATTGGTTAGGAAGTGTGATCCTCTCTCCTCAACATACTCTCTACAAAGACTCTAGTGACTAGTGGCCATTCACGAAAAACTTAGTCTTCTTCTTAACTATCTCTGCAGACACTACAATGCACCAAGGATAGTGCTTGATCATCATTGTGAACTAATCTATGCTGAATGCACCTAGGCCTATAAATGTTTCAATGAAGTTCAGTAGACACTATTTTCTGCTCTGAAATGCGTAAGAATTGAGGACTCTTCTTCCACAAATGACAGTGACAGGACCCCGTTCTCGAGCAGACCACACCTCTTAAAGGTGTGAGATTTATGATCTCACTTGAAAGATTATTAGTTTCAGGCTTGATGGAGCTTGAAGATGCAGCAGAGACTGAAGAGTTGGAATTGGGTTGAACAAGAAGGTATGAAGTATAGTGAAGACTCTGTCACAAACAGAAGGACTCAACTCAAGTAGAAAAAGCAAACTGTAGTAGGCATGGAGGGTTCGACCTAGGGGTTTGAGAATACTCACGTGCTAGTGCACCAGCAAATCATTGGCTGCTTTACCACAGCGCGTCGTCTTTGTAAAGCTCAGATCTTTGGATAAACCGTTCCATCGTTTGCAAGTGGAATCTTACTCCTCTCAGAGATGTCTACCAAATCCTGCGAAAGATGTAAAAGGAAAGATTTTTGCTATGAAATTAGTAAAATGAAATATTTCGTATGCTCTGTTTAATTTCCAAAGCACATCATAAAGATCTTTATGAAACAAACTTGAGTGAGCAATATCCTCCTAATTGTAAAGATTTTTTCATACAAGACTGATTCATCATCCTTCAGGGTAAAAGGTTCAGACACTCATACACAAAAGCTATTCTCTACTTGCCACAGTCAAGCATCAAGATTCACTAATGAATCTAAACCTAACAGAAAACAAAATACAATCCTTAACGTTGCTCATGGTTCTATCCTTCTTGGCGTGGTGAGTGAAACACGATTTCCGGTGAAGATAGCAATCAATTCAGCCACAAGCTGCTTGTCATCATCATGTTTCCTAACATACAAATTTAAAAACGCCTCACTAGTACTTGTCAAAACAGACGATATTGGAGGGAGTTCTTTTTCGAGCAATCCTTTTGACATGAGAATTTTGATTACATTACACCTTCGGACAGTCCTCTTCTCTAGGCTGTATCCAAGTACCTGAGGGACTGAAGCCACAGCCTTTAGTGGCCAATTCATCTCCTTCACAAGAAACTCAGTCTTCTTCTTCACTAACTCTGTCGAATATCCAATGCACTGAGGAAACCGCTTGAACATCATCAAAAACTCATCTCTGCTGTATCCTAGACCTAGAAATGTTTCTACGGAGTTGGCTACCTTCTTCTCCGAGTGTCTCAGAGAGCGTGGCCACTTCTTGAACATTGCCCATACATCGTCCACGGTGAAACCTACACTTCTATAGACTTCAACTTTTTCTTCAATCGTTTTGTCGCTCATTTGGTAAAGCATGTGCAAAGCGTGCACAAACGTTGAGGTGGTTGGATCAAAACCCATCTCAACAACCTTCTTGAGTGATGCATCAAATTTTTCTGTTCCACACACGGGCTGAAAGTTGGAGATGAGCAAAGGTAATAACCGCTTTTGAGGCACACCCAAATCTCTCAAAACCAAAACATTTCTGATCTTGTTACCCTGTGGCAAAGAATGAGATAACTTTACATACTTGGAACTCTTATCTGCTTCTATAATGACTTTGACGATATCATAGTATCTGCTGATAGATTTGCCCACTCTCTTCCCCAAGATTTTAGGAACTGTAGAAACAATCTCAGTGAGCTCAGAGCTTGGAGCTCCTCTGGACTGCAAAAACTCAAGCTTTGAACCAAGGGATGTCGCAGCATTAGATATAAGCACTTGTGGATCAGTCCTAATGATGCTGGAGATCTGAGAATCTGTAAACCCATAACTTCTAAGAAGATCCAGAACCGAATCAGCATTGACTTTACTTGTGAGTTTTGCAGCTAAACGCAGTGAATCACGGAATGACGAAGCTTTAAAGGTCTCTCCTTTTACACCGTCTTTAGGGTTTACATCAGCAGCACTAGCAGAGGAGAAGGAATTGGAAAAAGCAGATCCATTTTGCACTGAAACACTCAAGTTACGCCATTTCTGCAACCCCACGAACCTTCTTGCACCGAGTATAAGAGAATTCATGACAACGCAAAGCGATTACCTTTAAAGCGATTCAATTCGTGCCCAAGATCAAAAATTTCACCTTTTTTACTATCGAGCAGCGAAGAAGAAGAATAGCACTCTTACTTCGACTTCATTCACTTGTGGAACTCAATGGGGAAGAAGAAAGACACGGTTTTTAGGGTTTTTATTTCTGGACCGGTTTAAGGACAAATCAATAACTGATTTAAGTGGTTTACTTTTGGTTCATTCTAAGTTTAGTTTCTGCATTGTTTCTGTTTCAATTCAAACTTTCAAATGGTCACATGACACAATCACTACAATCCAAATTTGGACATTCACAAAAACCATATTTTGGAGAGAATTTATTAATTCATAAAATCACAGGTAAATACATCATAAACTAGGATTTAACCCGTGGTACACCACGGGGCAAATTTTTTATTCATATATATAATAAATATTAAATTTTATAGTTTTTAATTTAGTATTAAAGTTATATAATTTTATATTAATGTTGTAACTAAAAAAAAATAGTGATGATAAAATAATAAAATAAAGATATAACCCATGTTATATTAATCCAAACCCGTCATGCTATATAACTCGTCTCATGATATTTTAATTAATAATATTTTATAAAGTTAAAATATATCAATAATAATATTTCAAAAATAATAATTGTTTTTTGACTTTAATGTGATGACATTCTTTGTAAATTCTTACTTTACTAACACAAAAGTACTTTAAAAAAGGTACTTCAAAATTTTTAATATATATAATGTTATTGTTTTGGGTAAAAAATATTATAAATAAATATTTAGTTTAATCATAATTTGGGATTGATATACTTGTGTTTTTGACTAACTGTTTTTTCTTTTAATAGCCTATATTTGGGCATTTTTGTTAACATTATTTGAATTAGCAATATCAACGTAATACATGTACAATTTATTCTTACCAGAAAAAGAACAAAATTTAATAAAAATCAGAAAAGAAAGTTTTAGGGAGTGATAATTATTTTGTACAATTACAAATTGGAAAAAAGTATATAGAAAAACAAAATTAGAACGCCGGAATAAAAAAATCAGAAAAGAAAGTTTTAGGGAGTGTTTTTTTTTATATTTTAAATTATGATGGATGGCTTCTACATATGAACTACTATAAGAGGAAGATCATACTCTCCAAAAAGTGATTCAAAATAAAATAAAACAATTTCGATCTTCTCAAGAAGAGTGATATGGTATTGAACAAACATGATTGACAAGACCTAACGAATCATTCAAAGAAACATATGAAAATATATAAAAAAAATAAAACTAAAACAAATTTTTTTTTTAATGAAGAATTAGGATTGTAGAGAGCCGATTTACCGTAATGATTAATGAAGGGAAGCTTAAGAAATGGATTTTAATTTATAGGGGATTGGGAAAGAATTAGGGTTTCAATTTTTAAAATTGTGGCTTAATTAATTTTTTATGAAAATTTTAAAGCATATATTGTAATACAGTAAAACCTCTATAAATTAATAATGTTGGGACCATGAAATTTTATTAACTTAGAGAGGTATTAATTTAATTATCGATAAATTAATAATTATTAATTTATAGAGAGATTTTACTAATTTTACAATTTCTTAAAAAATTATCTATATAAAATTAAATTTTTTCTTTATAAACAATATCTTTTAAAAACTAATTACAAGTAGAGAAACAATTATTAAGTTTAAAAAACAACACAAATTTTTATCGAATAATAGAATCATATTCCATCAAATTGTTTACATATAATAATTAAAATATATATCATAGTAATTCATATATAACATATATAAATTTATATAATGTATATATATTGATAAGTTAATACAATTATTAATTTATGATATAGATGAGACCATATGTTTACATGAGATTTTCAAAAAAGTTATTATCTTATTAATTTATCGATTTATGTCATATTTTACACTGGTCCCAACTCGGGACCGGAAAAATTTATTAATTTAGAGAGGTTATTAATTTATAGAGTATTAATTTATAGAGGTTTTACTGTATGAGATTTTATTATTTTTATTAACTGAAAATAAATGATTTAAAACGAAAATCAGGGTGATTAATGCTAATTGATCCTCTTAAAAGGATTGTTAGTGTGTAGTATATTTTGTTTAGATTTGGAAAGATTTTTGTAATTTTTTTTTCTTTTAGTTTCCAAAATATTAGTAACAAAATCGATTAATATTTAGATTTGAGAATAAATTTGTTAAAACATTAAATGCCAATGGCATTCTTTGTAAATACTTAGCAACTCCAGGATTTATTTGCTAAGTGTACTCCAAAAATGTATATATAGATTTCACTATCTATTTTCGGAAAAAAGTGTTTTCGAAAAAAAGTGTTCGAAATCGAAAATAAAAATGATTATAGCATTAGCTCCTGTTCTCACAAACAACTTTAGAAGTTCAAAAGAACATGAAAGTAAATAGAATGAAACAAACGAAGATGATGCAAGAAAAAAAAAAATCAAAAGTATTGTAAACGGAACAAATTACTTTCTTTCCTCTTGCCCGGTTTGTTGATTTGTAATTGAACTAAGCTTGGAACATAGGAAGATGAGCACACAAGTGGAATACAGTATGCCCTCGGACTCGGAGTACATCCAATTTTGTACGGTTTCGCGATATTTGGGGCTAGTCCGATATTCACAGATTTGAAGTATGCATCTTGTCCAATAATGTGAGCTGTTTGGTAGCGACAGGTCACGGGCTCGGTCCATTTATATCTATCTAGATCGAAAACCACAGCAACTTTCTTCTCCTCATCAATGAAAAAGCTCCCAGCAGAATATTTAACCGGAAAACCAGTGAACGTTATCAAAAACTTGCTCCACGAAACCGCATTGGGATCAATCTTAGTTGTAACAAAAAACTCGAAAGTCTCAAATTCCCCAAAGCGTTGATATAACATAGCGAGCTGCTCTTCCCTAATACAAGATAGAGACACCAAATTTTCTGCATTGTAAGAGTTAAATGGCAGTGGCAGAGGCGGTCCAAATCTTTCCCTTGTAAAATCAAAACAAATTAGAACATTTTCAATATCTACTCCTCCCACGGTTCTTTTCTTGTGCGCAGGAAAATAGGTATTCCCCTTCAAAGACACGCCACGTTGATGAGACTGTATATCCCACTCGGGTTTGACATCAAGAACCTTCCATGAATTAGAGCTAAAATCATAGACTTCGTACCTAAAATCGCGGTTTCTGCTTGGATACACATTGAAAATCCTCAAGATTTTGTGGTTACGGTTGTTATCATATCCAAGAGCATACCTGTCTAGTCTGTTGAAATTTTCTCTAGGTTGGATCCACCTAGTTTGCCCCAAATAAGGGTTCCATACCAAGAGCCTTGTGTTGTCCTTAATGATGCATAGCAATAAACCGTCACAGTGAAAGACTTGAGATACATCGATTTGATCGAGTTTACTTACTTGCTTTATAGATGGATCAACGTAGTCTCTGTTGTTTCGTATTCCTTGGAGATCGAATTCCAATGAACAAACCCTATAATCCATCATTATAAACCCTATAAACTGCTTGTTTGCTGCAGTTGCTTTTTTGCCAAAAATCTGATTTTTGGATAAAGTGTTCCAATTTTTGCAAGTAGATCGTATTGCTCTCAGAGATGTCATCGGAACCCTAGAGAGTATCTCCTCTACCAAGTCGCCTGGAAGATCGCCCATTGTCGTCATTCTTTCAAACTTCAGCAATTAGGTTTTGGACGCTCTCAAGACAAAAGCTTTTTTATTCCATCCCATCTATTATTGAGTGACTCTACTTGATCCAGAAGTTTCCATTTTAATCTTTAGAGCCCAAACCCCTCTGTTTTCCACACACAGACTTCCGTATTCTCCACTTCTATTAGAATATGGATTTGTTTTCTCTGTTTCCTAGCAATCCTTTGGACGAGAGAGCTTTCACTAGAAACTCTATAATCCTCTTCACCGTCTCTGCAGATAAATCAAGATACCGAGGAAAGTGTTTAACCATCATCGCGAACACATATATGTTGAATTTTCAATGGACTTCAATATCTTCTTCTCCGATAGTTTCAGAGAGTTTGGCCACTTCTTGAACATTCCCCCACACCAAAGCCTAAACTTTTACAGACATTGACCTTTTCTTCTATGTTTTTGTCACTCCATCCATAAAACAATTTGCAGAGCAACCCATGTGAACAACCTTCTTAAGGGATTCTTCAAAACCGTAAGGATATTGTTGAACCTGAAACGGTTTTGAGGCATATTACCTTGTGAGTCAAACAGAGAAACTCCAATGGTCGTTAGCCATCACAAAACATGAACAAGTTTTTAAAGAGTCTGAAGCTTCATCGGTTGGATGATATAAGATAGCTTTCAAGTGCCTCCATGATATTAAAGGCAACGTAGTGACGCACCATAAGCTCACAAGAACGTGTATGAAACGCGATTAGTGAAAAGAGATTCAAAATAACATTTTAAAGTTAAGTCGGACACCATATAAACAGAAACGGTTTAGATCCTGATCATATGAGATTACAAAAAGCCTAAAATTTAGGTATTCATAAATAAAAGCAATATTCTTCACAAGCCTTCTGATCTATGAAGCCTGATATTTGGTGAAGATAGCCATGTCATTAATTTAAGCACAAGGAGCTTATCATCATGCTTCACGACGTACCTGTTTAAGAACGCCTGATCGGTACATGCCAAGACAGAAGCCACTGAAGGGAGTTCACTTCCAAGCGATCCTTTGGACATGAGAGCTTTGATTACATTACACCTTGGAACAATCCTCTTCTGCAAGCTGTATCCAAGTCCCGCAGGGTTCGAAACCACAGACTTTAGTGGCCAATTCATCTTCTTCACCAGAAACTCAGTCTTCTTTTTCACCGTCTCTGCAGACAATCCAAAGCACATAGGAAATCCCTTGACTATCATCACACATTCATCTCTACTGAATCCTACACCTAAAAATGTTTCAATTAAGCTCAATATCTTCTGCTCTGAAATACGTATGAATTGCGGATACTTCTTCAGCACTTGAAGGACTTCGTTTTCGTCCAGACCACACATCTTCAAGGTTTCAATCGTCTGAGTTATCTTTTCCTCTGAGAATTTCAAAGAGCAAGGCCACTTTTTGAAGATTACCCATACATCTTCCACAGAAAAGCCTAACCTTTTGTAGACATCGAGTTTTTCTTCTATTGTTTTTTCGCTCATTTGGTAAAAGACATGGAGAGCTTTGACAAACTTCGAAGTGGTTGGATCAAAACCCATCTCGACAACCTTCTTGAGGGATTCTTCAAATTTTTCTTTTCCACATACAGGTCCACTATCAGAGATGAGCAAGGAGAATAACAACCTCTGAGGCACACCCAATTCTCTCAGAACCAAAACATTTCTGATTTTATTATCCTGCCTACTAACCTCTGGCAAAGAATGACATAACTTTTCATACTTGGAGGAACTCTTATCAGCTTCTATAATGACTTTGATGAAATCATAGTATCTGCTAATAGATTTGCCCTCTCTCTTCCCCAATATTTTCGGAACTTTAGAAACAACCTGAGTGAGCTCAGAGCTTGAAGCTCCTCTGGACTGCAAAAACTGAAGCTTGGGACCAATTGACTTGTCAGCATCTGCTATAAGCAATAGTGGATACATCTTAATGATGTTGGAAATCTGAGAATCTGTGAACTCATGGCTCCTAAGAAGACTCAAAACAGAATCAGGATTACACTTGTCCTCAAAGCTAACCTTCCTTGAGATTGATTCTGCGACTTTTGTGGTTAAACCCAATGAATCAACGAGGTAAGAGACTGTAAAGTTCTTACCTTTTCGACCATCTCTAGGACTCAAATGTGCAACACTAGCAACAGAGGAGAAGGAATTGGAAAAAGCAGATCTTTTTTGGAAAAAGCTACGCCATTTCTGCAACTCCAAAGACCTTCTTCCATGGAAAATACAAGAATACATCTCTTTTGCCATAGTCTTGAGTGCTTCAATTCTTGAGAAAAGCTTCTCCGTTGATTCACTTGCGGAACCCAAAATCGCAAAGGTCTAAATTTTGGGGAGTGAAAATCAAAAGAAACGATTTTTAGGGGTTTTGATGGGAAGAAATGGAAATAAAAGTAATATTTAATATTTTTCGAAAATAACACAGTTTCATTAAATTTGAAAATTTACGAAGAAGGGCTTGATTTAATTTGAAAATATCAAAACAATAATCTATATAAAACAAAGGGAAAAATGTCAAAAAAAAATCATGAACTTTCAAATTTGAGACGATTTAATCTTGGACTATGAAGAAGACATATAAATCGTAAACTTTTGGTTGACTTTTTAATTAATTAGCGAAGTTTGGTTGACTCGCCATTTTAGACATAGCGTTAAGTAGGCTAACAGACAAGGATTACGGTGTTAAACTCCCGTTTATCTTCTCCGTTATATCAAAACGATATCGTTTACTCTAAGCGACAAAACGATGCCGTTTTGACGATTTGGGGGAAACTTAAACCTAATCCCCAAATCGATTTCATTTTGTAACCCTAGAATTATCAATCTCTCTCTCGCTCCCTCTCTTTGGTGAAATTCCCATAAGCTATTCACATTCCGACATTCCAAAACCTCTTTATTCAACAAATAACGCATACATCACGATATAAAATAATGTAAATCAAAAGAGATATCCAACCTTACATTTTCTTGTGATTTGCACATTAGAAGAAAACATGTTGGATTACAAAACTCTAAATGGGTTTCACACACTCATAAACAAAAACTCTTCGTTTGGTTCCCTTTGTCAACCATCAAAAGTTTTACCAGTGAATCTAAAACTAGCAGAAAGACAAAACAAGCCTTGAAGTTGCTCATTGTTCTCATTTCATCTAATCATATTTTCAGTCAATCTTTGTATAGATGTGATATTACATATTGTATTATGATTATTTTTGATATTTTTATTTTTATAAAATAAAAAATTGCAAACGAAAAAAAAAAAGAAAAATGCACACTAAAAGGAGCCCGTGCAATGCACTCTAGGGTTTTCACTAGTATCCTTGTAATTGTGAAGTAGCCGTGATTAGCAATCTAGGGTTTCAACTAGAGTGTCTCCGCCATGAAAACAGAGCGGCAAAACGTCTCGGAGGATCTTGTTGTCGTCACCGAACGCAATAAGCGAGCGAAGACCTCAAACAATGGTGGAGAACCGATCCCATTTGATTTAACTGTAGAGATTTGTTCGAGACTGCCAGCAAAATCTATATCAAGATTTCGCTGCGTATCGAAGCTATGGGGTTCCATTCTTGGCCTCCCCTACTTCACGGAGTTGTTCTTGACCAGATCATTGGCTCGCCCACAACTATTGTTCGCCTGCCGAAAAGACAATCATGTGTTTGTCTTCTCCTCACTTCAGCCTCAAAATCTTGATGATAACAACGCCTCCATTAAGATCCCTACACTAATGTTATTTCCATATCCTTATACCTCCTCTCTTTTAGCGGCCAATTATCATATGAAAATTCCGTATTATGCCTCTTCATTTAAAAGATGTAGTTCTGTCAGAGGCTTGATCTTTCTTGGAGATGAGCGGAGTTTAAATGGAGTGGAGCATAAGGTCTCGGTTATATGTAACCCCAGCACCGGAAAATCTTTGACCTTACCGAAACTAAAGACAAGGAAGAGGATTGGAGTGAGGAGCTATTTTGGGTATGAGCCCATCGAGAAACAATACAAGGTATTGTCCATGACCTGGGGGATATATGGAACACAAGACTCTGAGGAGCATCAAGTTTTGACATTAGGAACTCGACAACCGTCATGGAGAATGATCGAATGTTGGATACCCCATTCTCTTTATCATACATACAACAATGTATGCATCAATGGTGTTCTGTATTATCCAGCGGTCAATACGTCTTCAAGGGGTTTCATAATCGTTTCCTTTGACTTTAGGTCGGAGAAGTTCGGATTTGTTGAAGACACAGACACTTCCATTTCATCATATTATCGTCCACCTCTGATAAACTATAATGGTAAATTAGGTTCACTTGGGTCGTCTGGAGGATTTGGTGGTATCGGTGGAAGCTGTACAAGTATTACGTTGCGGGTTCTAGAAGATGCCGAAAAGCATGAATGGTCGGAGCATATATATGTATTACCCGCTTGGTGGAAGTATATTTTTGGAGGGGGATACACAGATTTATGCGTTGTTGGAGTGACTCGGAGAAATGAAATTGTGTTGTCGTGTCCCTTTCCATCCACGCCTTTCTACGTTTTCTACTACAATACAGAGAGAAACGCAATCAGAAGAGTCGAAATCCAAGGATTGGAAGCGTTTAAGGGTCGTTCTGTTTACACCTTTCTAGACCATGTAGAGAATGTGAATATGAAGCTTCTGGAAGGGCTTTAATCATGACTTTTATAACTTTGAGATTTTTGTAACAGAGCCAGTTTGGCCGTTACTCTTTACTTTCATCATTTTTTTCAGTTTTCTGTTATGGATATATCATCTGCTAATATGCCACTGGCTTCTTTGGACGCTTAAAGCTATTCACATTATGACATTCCAAAAAACCTCTTTATTCAACAAATAACCAATAAAACATGAGGTATATAGTAACTTTAAGGACTCAGAAAAGAGATTCGATATTACAACTTGTTATTGTCACAATCTGATTTACATATAAGACGAAAAGACACTCATAAACACTATACCAACGAATCTAAAACTAGCAGAAGAAAAGACAATCCTTGAAGTTGTTCAATGTTCTACATGTGCCGTGTGATCTATAAAACACTATTTCTAGTGAAGATAGCCAACAACTCAGGCACAAGCTGCTTGTCGTTCTTCATCACATACCAGTTTAAAAACGCTTGATCAGTACATGCCAAAACAGTAGACATCTGAGGGATTTCACTAACGATCAATCCTTTGGACATGAGGGCTTTGATTACATTACACCTTGGAACAATCCTCTTCTGCAAGCTGTATCCAAGTCCCGCAGGGTTCGAAACCACGGACTATCATCACACATTGGTCTTCGTCAACGTAGTAGTAAATAATCTCCCATGGATAATACGAACTTGAATCTCAATACGTCTCCCATTACTTCTACAATAAACTCATTACACATTTATTGGTCTTCGTGCTTATAATTATGGCTTTCATAGTAACCCTTAACATGTCATAAGGGTCTACGAAGATTGACATAGAAGACATAGATTTAACTTAAACCGAGAAAACCAATAATTAAGAGAAGAGATAATGTATCATTGAGAATACTATAAATTTTGCGATTATTTATTTATCATCAATAGCCATTACAGAGGAAGAGTACGTAGCATTTCATATATAATAAGTAAAGGTGACAATCTCTGGTTTTATTTATGAACAGAAAAGAGATTGTGAGTTTGTAGGATATTATTAATAGGTTTCAGCTATACACATGCATGAGATCAGCTCACTCTTAATTCTTCTTTTTTCCTTTGTAGCCCTTCTTCTTCTGAGAGGAACCCTTCACCCTTGAGTCGGATTTTACATAACCTTTTGCACGTGCAGCAGCAGCTTTGCGAGTCGCTGCAGCTGCAGCTTCTCCTGTAGCTTTAGAACTACTTTTAGAAGAAATTTTTGCCTTGCGACCCTTGGCATAGACTTGTCCACTGGTATATGCGGAGCCATATTCAGCTGCATTGGCGTCTGGACCTTTGGGACCACTAGAAGATCTAGCATAGCTAGAGACGTAAGAGTTGCTGTTAGTTGTGCCATAAGCAAAAAGCTGAGCTCCAATGCCTTTGGTAGTAGTTTTTGGAAGAGAGGTGCCTAATTTGGTCTCTTCGGACACTTCTTTGACATGCCTTGCGGTGACAATGGCACACAAAACGCCAATCACGAGAAGCACAACAAACTTTGTAGCATTCATCTTTTGATTATTACTTTTTTGGATTAAATGGTGTGTTTGTGGTGAGTTGTGTTGTGTTCTTCTCCCCAAATCATAGCCCTCTATATATACACAAACTAGATACACTTGTATTTATTATGATACATGAACATTTCTTACAAGAAATATACATGCTTAAATGCATTAGTCAAATTACAACTAATAGTCAGTCGTACCAAGATGTCAACATGATACTATTTTAACACCTCTTGCCATGATCAATCACAATTTTATCTAACCAGCTAATATTATTGATAGATTGCGATATCCAATTAATACTACACTTTGAAAGCCATATCTGCTGGAATTCAATTCAATATCAATAATATACAATGTTGTGGCAGCCAGCGTTCGAACCTAGCACACTGAGTGTGAAGTCGGATTCATAGCAATAAACTATTGGTCAGTTTCAAGTAATCTATTGATATATAACAATTTGAAGGTTAACAAATGCTACGGCTCTTATAACTTTTCGTTACGTACATTTTCATTTACCAACTGTTTCAATGAATCTAGAAAGTGTTTTCAAGTTTGACAAAAAAAAATATGGAACATCATGTACGTCTTTTCATCTTTGTACATTTTACTTCCAACCGTAACATTTGAGAAAATAATGTGTTTTGGAGGATTGCGTTTCTTTATATATTTACTTCATTTTTTTTAATCCCATTTCATTATAACCAGTTTTAATAATTTTTAAAAATGTAATGAAATGCCACCTTCTTTTTTCTTCATAATTCCTTTTTCACTTTTTTTTTTTTTGCTATGAATGTTAATATATCATTTAAAAATGAAAAGGTTTGGCTTTACAATGTAGAAAAAGATAAAAACAAGGAGTCAATAAAAGTATAAAACTAATAAGTCACGTGATGTGAGTTCATGATGTCGAGAGCTGCATCAGGTTGCGGAAAGATTTGCTGTGCCTTCTTGTGGTGATTAACTGATTATGTTGCGAATCTCTCTGTTTATGAGCTTGAAAATGGTGGAGGAGGGGATTGAGGGCTGAAAAAAAAACCACATTATTCCTCTCCATTTTCACTTATAACCACCGTTTTTCAACAGTCCTAAAAAAAAAAAAAATTTCAAGGAACATGACATAAAGTTGTTACATAGCGAGAACATGATATATGTTTTTCGTAATAGTAATAAGCAAGCTCCCACGGATAATACGAACTTCAATCTCATTACTTCTGACAATAAACTCAAATACACAAAAAAAAAAAAAAAAAAAACTCAAATACACACTTATTGGTCTTCGCTTTCACAATAACCCTTAATATGTCATAAGGATATCTACATAACACCAAACGATATGATTCAAAATCACTTGAATAAATCATATTGAAATAATAATAGTGAAAATCAATAAATTTTAATTACCTCCACCTTGGTAAACTTTTCTCCGATTATTTTTCCGGTTCGATTTTGATAGTTGAAACAATCTTCGGTTCATCATTAACCAGGCACTAGGTGCTTCCTCAACCAAAGTTTTCCTTCTCATCACCCTCGAGCCACAATCTTTCCTACGTTCGGTTTGGTAAAAACATGCACCGGTGTAACAACACCGAGATCTTTTCTTCAGTCCGTCTTGAACAAAAATCGTAACGTAAAAACTCAAATCTCCGTAGTAGCTAAACACGAGAAAGTATCCAAATTCAAGAGATTGATCGTTACTCGTTAGCAATACTTTCCAAACCTTTTTTGAACAAAAAACAAACTCTTTCTTCTGTGTCCTCTTTTTTTTATCTCCACACAACCAGAACCGCCCGTTCTCATCGAGTAATAAGGCTTCATAAGGTTGCGAATAGAGGAATCATATCACATGCAGATCTATTTTGATATATAAAATGTGAAAATTATTTTTGATGTGTAGAGAAGAAACAGAGATAGAGAAACATTACCATTTTTTGATAAACCCTATCGGCTGATTATCAAAAACATTACCATTTCGTGAGAACTACTATTATATTCATCAGGAAGAAAAACTTGAAAAGAGTGATTAAATTTAAACCAAAAGGTAAAGACTGAAGAATCAAGTAGATTTTAGAAACAGTGGATCTTATAAGAAATGACTAGAGGATTTATCTTATGATATGTTCTAAGTCTGACAATGTTTAAACAAGAAAAAAAAAAGAACTTTTTGACATGAACCCTGTTGTTTATGAGAGTCATCATATTCACATGTTCTTGAAGTTTCTTTTCCACAAGAATATTAAGTCTTTATTTTACCATTACTGAAGAAGATTAATATAAGATCGTATTATTGCATTTATTTTATTTTAAAATAGCCTTTACATGAGAAATAGTAGCATTTCATAACAATATTTAGAGGTGACAATCTCTGGTTTTATTTATGAACACAAAAGAGATTTCGAGTTTGTAGTTTGTAGGATATTATTAATAGGTTTGAGGAATACGCATGCATGAGATCACCTCACGCTCAATCGTCCTTTTTTCCTTTGTGGCCCTTCTTCTTCCCAGAGGAACTGCCCTTCACCCTTGAGTCGGATTTTACATAACCTTTTGCACGTGCAGCAGCAGCTTTGCGAGTCGCTGCAGCTGCAGCTTCCCCTTTAGCGGAAGAATCACTTTTAGAAGAAACTCTTGCTTTGGGACCCTTGGCATAGACTTGTCCGCTGGTACTTGTGTAGCCATTTTCGTATGCATCGGCCTCTGGACCTTTGGGACTCTTAAAAGCTCTAGCAGAGCTATAGACATTACTGCTGCTGAAAGTTGTGCCATAAGCAAAAAGCTGAGCTCCAATGCCTTTGGTAGTAGTTTTTGGAAGAGAAGTAGTGCCTAATTTGGTCTCTTTGGACACTTCTTCGACGTGCCTTGCGGTGACAATGGCACACAAAACGCCAATCACGAGAAGCACAAGAAACTTTGTAGCATTCATCTTTTGAATCTTTTTTTTGTTTTGAATTTTATTGTATGTGTGGTGAGTTGTGTTGTGTTCTTCTTCCCAAATGATAGCCCTCTATATATACACAAACTCGATACACATGTATTTATTATGATACATGACTACATGAGCATTTCTTACAAGAAATATACATAAGCTTAAATTACAACTAATAGTCATACCAACATATCAACATGATACTATTTTAACACTTCTTGCCAAGGTCAATCACAATTTTATCTAACTAGCTAATATTATGGATAGATTGCGATATCCAATTAATACTATACTATAACTGTGATCTATTATTCGAACTTGAAAGCAAACCTCTTAAGGCTTCTTAATGCAAATGAACTCTCAATCTAGAGGGTAAGAAATGTCCATTTTGTTACCTGAAAACAAATCCTTTTTCTACAATTCACCAACTACAAGAAAGGTTCTAACAACGGCCATTAAATTCTTCAATTAGGGTCCTCCACTTTGATTCCAACCAAAGCTTTTTAATTGAAAATACGAATCTGATACAGAAAGTAGAGACAATGTAAACCATAACTTCCGCACAACAGAATCCAAAAGTGCAGCGAAACAAAATGAGAAGGAAAAGTATTGAACTTGACACGACTCTCTTAGCAGCTCGTAACAAGAACTAAAGAGCCAATGTATCCATGCAACATTTTAGACATATCATGAAATCATTGGATCCAGGTCAAATTGAGATTACAGAAGCACAAAATTGTGGTTTCATCGATACATTAACAAAAGCTTTCTTTTGCTTCCCATTGTCACATCAAAAGATTCATTCGACAAATCTAAAATTGACAACAACAAAATAAGAACAAACCTTGGCATTGCTCATTGTTGTAGGTGTGCCTTTTGATCTATGAAACACGACCTTTGGTGAAGATAGCCATCAACGTAGGCGCCAGCTCGTTGTGCTTCATCACATACCTATTTAAAAATCCTTCATCGGTACACGACAAAACAGAGGACACGGCAGGTAGTTCGCTTTTCTTTCTGAGCAGTCCTTTCGACAAGAGAACTTTGAGTACGTTACACCTTGGTATAATCCTCTTCTCCATGCTGTATCCAAACACCTGAGGGTGCAAAACCAAGGCATTTAGTGGCCAATTCATCTTCTTCACCAGAAACTCATTCTTCCTTTTAACCGACTCTAGAGAATATTCAATGCAAGGAGGATAACGCTTGACCATCATCAAAAACTCAGCTCTGCTATATCCTAAGCCTAGAAATGTTTCAGCAGACTTCAATATCTTCTTCTTGGAGACTTTCAAAACAGTAGGAGTCTTCTTGAAAATTTCCCAAACATCATCCAAAGTAAAACCTACACTTGTATAGACTACAACTTTTTCTTCAATCGTTTTCTCGCTCATTTGGTAAAGCATGCGCAAAGCTACAACAAACTTAGAGGTGGTGGGATCAAAACCCATCTCAACAACCTTCTTAAGGGATGCATCAAAATTTTCTTTCCCACACACAGGCTGCGATTTGGAGACAAGCAAGGGTAATAACAACCACTGAGGCATACCCAATTCTCTCAAAACAGATACATTTCGGATTTTATTCCCGTGAGAACCCTGTGGGAGTTCATAACTCGAACTTTTATCAGCTACTATAATGTCTTTGACAGCATCATAGTATACAGTGATAGATTTCCTTCCTAAGATTCTCGGAACTGTAGAAACAATCTCAGTGAGCTCAGAGCTTGAAGCTCCTCTAGACTGCAGAATCTCAAGCTTGCGACCAAGTGATTTCTCAGCATCTAGTATAAGCAATTCTGGATAATCGGTAATGATGCAGGAGATCTGAGAATCTATGAAGCCATGACTTCTCAAAAGACTCAGAACAGAATCCGGATTTGCCTTGTCCGTGAAATTAACTTTCCTTGAGATCGATTCTGCGAGTTTTGTAGTGAAACCCAATGAATCAACGAGGTAAGAGACCGTAAAGTTCTTTCCTTTTCGACCATCTCTTGAGCTCACATCAGCAGCAGCAGAAGCAGAAGAGAAGGAATTGGACAAAGGAGATGCATTTTGCAGAGCAAATCTCAAATGGCGCCATTTCTGCAATTCGACCAACCTTCTTCCATGGAGAATCAGAGAATACATTACAAAGACAAAGCTACAAATACTATAGAAGAGAAGGCTATGCGATTACCGAACCCGAAACAGAGCAGAAGAAAAGGAAAAACAGAATCAACAAATACTAAAATTCCGACCAAAGTATCTGTTTCAATTCGAGAAGATAGATCTTGTAGTCATGAATCGAGTTTAAATCTCAATACAATAAAATTCACTCATGAATCCGCGAAACCCTAAAATCGCAAAAATCGAAACTTTGGGGAGGAAATAACGAAATGAGGGTTTATGATACGTTTCTCTCACCTATAAACCCTAATGAATTTCAATTAGGATTCGTCGGTTAATCTAATCCCCGTTTTTCATAAATTGTTTAAAATACAAAAGAGTTGTGTAGCTCCTAGGATTCGAACCTAGGTCTTTTTTTTTACAGTAAGTACGGGTTAATAACCAAGCAACCGGAGGGCTGTATTAGTTTTTGATTAGAGTGATCTTTTAGTCGTGACAGTGAATTACATATCATGTCGATGTCAAGCACGGGTTAGAGGGCTTTGTTAGAACACCGAAGGGAACAAGAACATTGAACTTAAGGAGAAGAAAAATTCAACAAGCCGTGTGACAAACGAAACTGAATCGTCCTTGTGTGTCATTCTAGCAACAACATAAAGTTCTTCATTCCCTATCAAGACTATATAGAACTCATCGATTAAAGCTCCTCAACGACAAAATAATCCTGATTGTTGTCTTGGGTGGCCTTAAGATCTATGAAGCATGATCTCCAGTGAAGATAGACATCAACTCAGCCACAAGCTCTTTGTCAACGTGCTTCCTCACATACAAGTTTAAGAAATCCTGATCGGTACTCATCAAAACAGGCCGCATTGGAGGGAGTTGGCCTCCTCTGTCTTCGAGCAATCCTTTGGACATGAGAGTTTTGATAATGTTACACCTTGGTACAATCCTCTTCTCAAGGCTATATCCAAGTATCGAAGGGTTCAAAACAACAGCCTTTAGTGGCCAATTCATCTTCTTCACCAAAAACTCAGTCTTCTTCTTCACCGACTCTGCTGAATAACTAAGACAGATTGGTTGCTTTTTGACTATTTTCGTGAACTCATCTCTGCTGAATCCTAGGCCAAGAAACGTTTCAACGGAGTTAAATATCTTCTTCTCCGAGAAATATAAAAAGGAAGGATGCTTCTTGAACATTGCCCATACATCAAAAAAGCCTAATCTTTTGCAGATATTAACTTTTTCTTCTATAGTTTTGTGGCTCAATCCTTGAACAACGTTTAGAGCTTTGACAAACTTTGTTGTGGTTGGATCAAAACCCATCTCAACAACCTTCTTGAGGGTTTCTTCAAATTTTTCTTTTCCCCATACCGGTTGGTGGTTGGAGATGAGCAAGGGGAATAACAACTTGTGAGGCATTCCCAATTCTCTCAAAACGGATACATTTCTGATCTTGTTCTCCAGATGACCCTGTGGAAAAGAATGACATGACTTTTCCTTCTTGGAACTCTTCTCAAGTAAAGTTTCTTTGATGAAATCATAGTACACGCTGATAGTTTTGTGCCCTTTCTTTCCCAAGATTCTCGGAACTTCAGAAACAATCTGAGTGAGCTCAGAGCTTGAAGGTCCTCTAGACAGCAGAAACTGAAGCTTGGGACCAAGTGATTTCTCAGCATCTGCTATAAGCAATTGTGGAAAATCCGTAACGATGTTGGAGATTTGAGAATCAGTGAAACCATGACTTCTCAAAAGATTCAGAACAGACTCAGGATTTGCCTTGTCCTCGAAACTAACTTTCCTTGAGATCGATTCTGCGAGTTTTTTAGGTAAACCCAATGAATCAACGAGGTAAAAGACGGTAAAGTTCTTCCCTTTTAGACCATCTCTAAGGCTTGCATCAGCAGCAGAGGAGAAGTAACTGGATAAAGGATATGCCTTTTGCACTGAAACTCTCAAATGTCGCCATTTATGCAATTCGACCAACTTTCTTCCATGAAGAATCAGAGAATACATTACAAATCAATGCAATTACCAAACCTCGAAAAGGAGCCAAACAAAATTCAACAAATGCTACAGTGTTGAAAGCTAGTCCGACCCTACCCTCTGTTTCAATTCGAGGAGATGAATCAAAGCATAACTACCAAAATTTCTCTGAAATTACGGACAATAACAAGAAATCCACCGCTTCTAAATCGCAAAAATCCAAACTTTGGGGAGGAAATAACGAAATTGGGGTTTATGCTGCAAATATCATATGAAATTCAATTAGGTTTCTTTTTCTTTTACAATTTTTTTATAAATTCAAAGAGTCGTGTAGCTGCTGGGATTCGAACCCATGTCTTACCACTAAGTTACACCTATTTTTGTGTGTCTCTCTGCTTTAATTATTAAATCAAAGCCGTTTTGAAACATTTTTTTTTGTCTCTGCTGAGCTTCCTACTTTGCTTGTGCGTGCCATATCAGATTTCTCATTGGCAAGCTTCTCCTGTTCTTAGCATTTCTCTTCTGGAAGAGAATTTCCAGAGTCAAACACATCTTTGGAGGCTATGAAGAAATCTTTTAATTTAGTCATTCTAATCATATACACTTTGTACATTGAAAAACACTATTAAAACCGGATTGCATACTCTAGCCTCATTGCGACTCCAGTCATCTTCCGATAACTTTTGTTCCAGTTTGGTTCAAGATGATCTCACGTTCTGCATCACAACATCATCAACTCAAAAGACTTGAGTGAGCTCAGTCCAGTGGTCATTAGCCATCGCAAAAGCTCAAAAAATCGTTCAAAACGTCCCAAGCTTCCTCGGTTAGAAGCTAGATATTAGATTTTACCTACTTGAACAGGATGATAATCTGATTTATGAGTCCTAATGATGTAGGACAGGTTTCCAGTCCCCCTGACGATATTCAAGACAATGTACTATAAAGCAAGTAGAGACCATCAGACCAAGATCACCAATCTGAGAATACAAACATTCCACAAATCAGATGAATCATATGATCAAAGAAAAAGACAGAACTTACATGACGACTCCACGAACTCAAGAGCAAAGAATATATAAAGCAAAGATTTTAATGTGTCATAAGAGGATTTTGGTATCAATAGCTGTAATTTCAGTACTCCAATCCCAAAATTACATGACCAATCCAAGAACTCAGGAGCAGCATTTCATCATTCAAATCCATATCCGAACAAGGTCACAAAGAATTTGGAATCTAACTGCTATAGGAAAATAAAATCAACAAATATGGAATTTGGATTCAAATGTCCCCTTGAGCTCTTTGGCTGCATTGTTGTTTCTACGCTACAAACTTTAGTAATATGTCAGAACAGGGACTCAAGATTACAATTATGAGCATATAGAGAGAGACGGTTCGAATCGATATGAAATTGAGAACTAAAAAGTCTAAAAGTGAGGTTTTCAGATATTCAAAGATAAAACCAAAATCCTTGACAAGCCTTGCGATCTATGAAGTACGATAGATAGCCATCAACTCAGTCACCAGCTGCTTGTCCTCATGCTTCTTCACATACCTGTTTAAGAACTCCTGATTGGTACATATGAAGACATGCGATATTGAAGGGAGTTCACTTCCGATCAATCCTTTGGAGATGAGAGCTTTGATTACGTTACCCCTTGGGACAGTCCTCTTCTCCATGCTGTATCCAAGTATCGCAGGGTTTGAAACCAAAGCCTTTATTGGCCAGTTCATCTTCTTGACCAGAAACTCGGTCTTCTTTTTAACCGTCTCTGCGGATAATCCAATGCCCTGAGGAAAGCGCTTAACCAACATGGAAAACTCATCTCTGCTGAATCCTAGGCCTAGAAATGTTTCAATGGTGCTCAATATCTTCTTCTCCGAGTGTGTCAGAAAGTTTGGCCACCTCTTGAACACTTCCCATACATTTCCCACATCAAAGCCTAACCTTTCATACGCATTGACTTTTTCTTCTATTGTTTTGTCGCTCAATCTTTGAACAACGCGTAGAGCTTCGAGAAACTTTGCAGAGGTCGGATCAAAACCCATGTCAACAACTTTCTTGAGGGATTCTTCAAATTTTTCTTTACCGAAGACAGGTACGTCACAAGAGGTGAGCAAGGGGAATAACAACTTGTGAGGCACTCCCAATTCTCTCAAAACGGTTATATTTCTGATCTTGTTCTCGAGATTACCCTGTGGAAAAGAATGAGACAACTTTTCCTTCTTGGAACTCTTATCATGTAATAAAGTGTCTTTGATGAAATCATAGTATACGCTGATAGTTTTGTGCCCTCTCTTTCCCAAGATTTTCGGAACTTGTGAAACAATCTCAGTGAGCTCAGAGCTTGAAGCTCCTCTAGACTGCAGAAACTGAAGCTTGGGACCAAGTGATTTCTCAACATCTAGTATAAGCAATTGTGGATAATCCGTAACGATGCTTGAGATCTGAGAATCAGTGAACCCATGACTTCTAAAAAGATTCAGAACAGACTCAGGATTGCCCTTATCCTCGAAGCTGACTTTCCTTGAAATCGATTCTGCGAGCTTTCTAGTTAAACCCAAAGAATCAACGAGGTAAGAGACTGTAAAGTTGTTACCTTTTCGACCAATTCTAGGACTCGAACGTGCAGCAGGAGCAGAGGAGAAGGAATTGGATAAAGGAGATGCCTTTTGCACTGAAACTCTCAAATGACGCCATTTCTGCAATTCGACCAACTTTCTTCCATGGCGAATCAGAGAATACATGACAAAGACTAGGCTACGCGATTACGATTCAACAAATGCTATAGTGTTTGAAAACGATTCCGACCCAAAGTATCTATTTCAATTCGAGAAGTAGAATCACACAGTCATCGAGCTGAAATCTTCAAATTTCTCTGTAACTACGAACAAGAACAATAATAAGAAACTCACTAAAAAATTGGGGATTTATGATGTTTATAGCATAATTTCATAACCCCAACGATCATAAACCCTAATAATTTGGACCAATTAGGGTTCCTTCTTTAATTTATTAACGTTTTTCAAAATTAGTAAGGTTAATGTTACTGCTGGGATTCGAACCCAGGTCTTACCACTTAACTAGAGTTATTTTTGTTAGCTTTTGTCATAATAAACAGATTCTCTGCTTTCATTTACTAAATCACCAGTATAGTTACATTGAGAGTTTGTTTTCAGCAATTATGGTTGTAGTAGCTTCATGTCATGGCTAACTCATCTCTGCTGAATCCTGGACCTATAAATGCTTCAATGGAGATCAACATATTCTTCACGGAGACTGCCAGAAAGAATGGATACTTCTTGAAGATTGCTCATACGTCTTCCACAGCAAAGCCTAACCTTTTGTAGACATTGACATTTTCCTCTATCGTTCATAAGGTTTTAGGAACTGTAGAAACAATCTCAGTGAGCTTGAAGCTCCACTGGACTACAGAGACTGAAGGTTGGGAGCAAAACTTTAAATGGGTGGAATTATATACAGTGAGATTGTGGGTTTAGGGATTGACTAACGGACCATTGGAGTAAACACACTCAAGTTCATTTCTCTTAAAATTTAGACTGAAGCTCACCAACCTTCAAAGCATCCTGAGCTTCTTCAGTTTCTAGTGTGTAATAATAGCTAGATTCCAGATTTTACCAACCTGGATTGGATAAAATGATTTATGAGTCCTAATGATGTGGAACAATGTGCCACAAGCTCATAAAAAAATGTGTATGAAACGCCATAGCAGAAAAGACTTACGTGACCAATCGTATAACTCAAGAGCTGCATTGCATCATTCAACTCCATATCCGAACAAAGTCACAAAGAATTCAGAAACTATCTGCTTTAGAATAAATCAACAAATATAGAATATGGATTCACATGTCCCCTTCAGCTCTTTGGCTACGTTGCTTTTCTCTAGGCTACAAACTCAGTAATATATGGGAAAATTACAGTTCTGATCCGGATCAAATTGAGGACTAAAAAGTCTAAAATTGAGGTTTCTCAGATATTCATAGATAAACAAAAATCATTGTGATCTATGAAGCACGATAGATAGCCATCAACTCAGTCACCAGCTGCTTGTCCTCGTGATTCTCCACATACCTATTGAAAAACACCAGCTTGGTACACATGAGGACACACGATATCGAAGGGAGTTCATTTCCGATCAATCCTTTGGACATGAGAGCTTTGATTACATTACCCCTTGGGACGATCCTCTTCTCCAGGCTGTATCCAAGTACCGCAGGGTTTGAAACCAGAGCCTTTAGTGGCCAATTCATCTTCTTCACCAAAAACTCAGTTTTCTTTTTGACCATCTCTGTAGATAATCCAATGCACGGAGGAAAGTGCTTGACCATCTTCGCAAACTCATCTCTGCTGAAGCCTAGGCCAAGAAATGTTTCAATGGAGTCCAACATTTTCTTCTCCGTTACTCTCAGAGAGATTGGCCACTTTTTAAAACTTGACCATACATCTCCCACATCAAAGCCTAAGCTTTTATAGAGATCAAATCTTTCTTCGATTGTTTTCTCGTTCATTTTGTAAATAACGTTTAGAGCTTCGACAAACTTTCCGGTGGTTGGATCAAAACCCATCTCAACAACCTTCTTGAGGGTTCCTTCAAATTTTTCTTTCCCACATACAGGTTGGCTATCGGAGATGAGCAAGGAGAATAACAACTTGTGAGGCATGCCCAATTCTCTTAAAACCGATACATTTCTGATCTTGTTCTCTAGATTACCCGGTGGAAAAGAATGACATAACTTTTCGTACTTGGAACTCTTATCATGTAAAGTGTCTTTGATGAAATCATAGTATACGCTAATAGTTTTGTCCCCTTTCTTTCCCAATATTTCCGGAACCTTTGAAACAATCTGAGTGAGCTCAAAGCTTGACGCTTCTCTGGACTGCAAAAACTGAAGCTTGGGACCAAGAGATTTCTCAGCATCTAGTATAAGCAATCGTGGGTAAATCCCAATCATGCTAGAGATCTGAGAATCTGTGAAACCATGACTTCTAAAAAGACTCAGAACAGAATCAGGATTGCCCTTGTCCTCGAAGCTAACTTTCCTTGAAATCGATTCTGCGAGCTTTTTATGTAAACCCAATGAATCAACGAGGTAAGAGACTGTAAAGCGCTTCCCTTTTCTACCATCTCTAGGACTCAAATGTGCAGCAGTAGTAGCAGAGGAAAACAAATTGAAAAAAGAAGATGCATTTGGCACTGAAACTCTCAAGTTACGACATTTCTGCAACTCGACTAAGCTTCTTCCATGGAGTATCAGAGAATACATGACAATTCAAAGCGATTACCGAACCCTGAACAGGACCCAAAAGAGGAGGCAATACAAAACCAACAAAAGCCAACAGTTTTTGAAGCAATTCGAGCAATCAATCTGAATCAATTCGAGCAAATAAATCTCAAAAGAAGAATTGAAGACTCATTCTTCGATCAGTGACTGGTGCCGGTAAAGATCTGATGAGTGTTGGATCTTTCAAGGATTCAAATTTGGGAAGAAGTAAAAAAGAAACGATTTTTATTTTAGGGTTTTTGATTTCAAATTGATTAAATGATACGAGAGCAAAATTAATTTTAGGGTCTGATGATGTCAGCATTTTTTTAAGGAAACAAAAAAAATATTAATCCAACGGTTCTAAAGCATATCAATCCAACGGTTCCAGTTGCATTTATCCATCTCATCGTTTGGCAAACCTCAAGTAAACAATTTTTAAATTTGTTTAAATTGTTAACATTAAGAAAGTGGGATTTTGTTTTTAACTAAGTTTAATTAATTACTTAGTGTTAGTTTTAGGTTTTAACAATGTTTGAGTTGTTGCAATTTCTTTAATTCGGTCATTGACTATATTTTAGGCTAAGAATGGTTGGGTAGTATGTTCCGGACTAAAATCGGACCAGTCCGCACTTAATTTATCATGTTTCTCCATTCTGGTTCTACCATGGACGTTTATCGATGGTTTCACAGTTTGTACCGATTTTTGGTTACCGTGAGAATTCGAAATAGGAGAGATTATATGTAAAACCGTTCTTTTGGTACATAATAAGTTTACATTCATACAAGAAAATAAAAATAAATAACGGTTAAAGTAGATTGTGCTTACAGAGGCCATCATTGACAGTGTTTTCTCTCCAATTCTTGAAGCCTTAATTCTAAAACGTGTAGCACAAAATTAGTTTGTTTCACACACACACACACACACACAGATTAAAGCTCTTCTTCAACGACAAAAGATTCACCAACGAACCAGAAATTAACAATTAAATCCTATGACAAGCCTTCTGATCTACGAAGCACGATCTCCAGTGAGGATTGTCATCAACTCAGCCACAAGCTTCTTGTCATTGTGCTTGATCACATACCTCTTAAAGAAGACCTGACTGGTACACTTCAAAACAGACCCGATTGGAGGGAGTTTGCTTCCTGTGTCTCCGAGCAGTCCTTTGGACATGAGAGCTTTAATTACGTTACACCTTGGTACAATTCTCTTCTCCATGTTGTATCCAAGTACCTCAGGGTTTGAAACCAGGGCCTTTAGTGGCCAATTCATCTTCTTCACCAGAAAGTCAGTCTTCTTTTTAACCGTCTCTGCGGATAATCCAATGCCCTGAGGAAAGCTCTTGACCATATTTGCAAATTCATCTCTGCTGAATCCTAGACCTCGAAATGTTTCTACAGAGTTCAATATGTTCTTCTCAGAGAGCGCCATAAAGATTGGATACTTGTTAAAAATTTCCCATACATCATCAAAGCCTAAACTTATATAGAGATTGGCTTTTTCTTCTATTGTTTTTTCGCTCAATCCCTGAACAATGCGCAAAGCTTTGACAAACTTTGTAGTGGTCGGATCAAAACCCATCTCAACAAGCTTCTTAATTGATTCTCCAAACCTTTCTTTCCCATTGACATGTCCCCCACTAGAGATGAGCAAGGGGAATAACAACCTCTGAGGCACACCGAGTTCTCTTAAAACCGATATATTCCGGATTTTATTCTCCAGATTACCCACAGGCAAAGAATGACATAACTTGTCGTAATTGGAACTCTTATCTGCTTCAACAATGACTTTGACGAAATCATAGTATCTGCTTAGCGTTTTGTCTCCTTTCTTTGCCAATATTTCCGGAACCTTTGAAACAATCTCGGTGAGCTCAGAGCTTGAAGCTCCTCTGGACTGCAAAAACTTAAGCTTGGGAGCAAGTGATTTCTTAGCATCTAATAAAAACAATCGTGGATAAATCGTAATGATGCTGGAGATCTGAGAATCTGTGAACCCATGACTAGTCAAAAGACTCAGAACTGACTCGGGATTTGCCTTGCCCTTGGAGATTGATTCTGCGAGCTTTCTAGTTAAACCAAGAGAATCAACGAGGTAAGAGACCGTAAAAATCTCCCCTTTTCGACAATCTTTAGTGCTCACAAGCGCATCACTAGTGGAAAAAGAAGAAGCCTTTTGCACTGAAAAACTCAAATCACACCATTTCTGTAACTTGACCAACCTTCTTCCATGGAGTATCAGAGAACACATGATGATCTCTCAACTCACTCAGTCACTCAGGTCTCGATTGATTGAGAACTATACATTTTTTTATTCACTCGTGAAACCCTAAATCGCATAAAGAATCAAAATTTGGTGAGAAAGAAGAAACGAGAATAAGTTTTAATTATTATAATTTCTAACAGTTCATCATCACCCATAAACCCTAATTACTTACCCCTTTCGAAATCACTGCGTTATGCGTCGTCGGATTCTTAGAACTTTCGTCGGCGAATTTCGATTCCGATTCCGTCTTTATTCTTTCAAAACCGGTACAAGCTTATGGGTTTCATTGCTTGGTTATTGTGGAACAACAATGTGGATCCGGTTCTGTCTCCAAACCGAAATTTGGTCTGCACTAAATACCAAACCGAAATTCTGTCCTTTTCAAAGAGCAGCATTATTAGCCATAATAGATGGACACCTGTGAGAAACCCTTCTATGTCTTCTTCAGGTTTCTCAACACAAGGGTTAACAAGCATCCTATTGCTTCTTGCCAAATTCTCCTCAACGAGTGCTTCAATTTCTTTCCTATTACAAACCTCCCTTTCTGCTTTTATCACTAGTTCTTCGAAAACTTGCTCATATGATTGATCAACAATATATTGTAAGTTACCTGACTAACCAAGTTGCCTTGTTTCTGCATTTCAGATAAGCATGTGAATGCAAAGACACACATATCTCCACGTTTCTAGGCCACAAAAAGAGTTCAAGGACTCAAAAAAGATTGAAAATTACTATGTGTTATTTTCCAAGTTGGAGTGCATATTAAAACGAGTCAGATCCACATCAAATTGAGATTACAGAAATCTAAACAGGTATCAGAGGTTTATAAATAAAGCTCCTCTTTTCACTTCTCATTGTCTGATGATGTCAAAAGATTCATGGATGAATCTAAAACTAACACAACAATACAAACCTTAATGCTGCTCATTGTTGTAGTGTAGGGTAGGCCTTCTGCTATATATAAAAGCTCCACTTTTCACTTCCCATTTTCTCCAGTGAAGATAGCCATCAACTCAGGCACCAGCTTGTCGTGTTTCATCACATACCTCCTTAAAAACGACTGATCGGTACTTGTCAAAACAGACGACATTGGAGGGGTTTCACTTCCAAGCAATCCCTTTGACATGAGAGTTTTGATTACATTACACCTTGGGACAGTCCTCTTCTCTAGGCTGTATCCAAATATCTGAGGGATCAAAACCAAACCCTCTAGTGGCCAATTCATCTTCCTCACAATAAAATCAGTTTTCTTCTTCACTGTCTCGGCAGTATAGTCAATGCATTGAGGATAACGCTTGATCATCACTGCAAACTCGTCTCTGCTGAATCCTAGGCCTAAAAATGTTTCAATGGAGTTCACTATCTTCTGCTCTGAAGAACAAATGCACTTTGGATGCTTCTTTATCAATGACAGGACCTCGTGTTTGAGCAGACCACACCTCATAAGGGTTTCAAACGTATGAGTTATCTTCTTCTCTGAGTATGACAAAAAAGAAGGCCACTTCATGAAGATTGCCCATACATCAGCCACACCAAAGCCTAACCTTTTGTAAACATTGACTTTTTCTTCTATTGTTTTGTCGCTCATTCTGTAAATAACGCGCAGAGCTTCAACAAACTTTGAGGTCTCCGGATCAAAACCCATCTCAACAACCTTCTTCAGCGATTCTTCAAACCTTTGTTTCCCACAAACAGGTTGGCTATCAGAGATGAGCAAGGGAAATAACAAACGCTGAGCCACACCCAATTCTCTCAAAACAGAGATATTTCTGATCTTGTTCTCCTTGTTACCCTGTGGAAAAGAATGACATAACTTTTCGTAACTAGAACTCTTATCGGCTTCTATGATGTCTTTGACGAAATCATAGTATACAGTTACAGATTTGTTCCCTCTCTTTCCCAAGATCTTAGGAACTGTAGAAACAATCTCAGTAAGCTCAGAGCTTGAAGCTCCTCTGGACTGCAGAGACTGAAGCTTAGGAGCAATGGATTTGTCAGCATCTAATATAAGCAATCGTGGGTAAATCGTAATGATACTTGAAATCTGAGACTTTGTGAACCCATAACTTGTAAGAAGACTCACAACAGAATCCGGATTTTCCTTTCGAATTTCCAAAGTGAGCCCTGGACTACAATTGCACGATAGGTCCTCACAAGAAAGCTTTTTACTTTTTCTGAGCACCAAATTTACTTTTCCTACCAGAAATGAATTTTTACTTTCCTCATGCATAACAAGACCCTCTCCTTTCATGCCAATACTTCAATCTCTGATGGAAATTCTTATTCTTCTCCTACTTCTTTCTTTCTCACCTCAGATTCGTTAGTTATACAAGTTTTGTTGCTATCTTTGTTATTGATCTTTAGCTGATTTCTTTCCTCGGCACTTCCTTTCATTGCCCTTCGTCTAAAGCCTCTTGGAGCTTAGCTTCCGGCTCCTGAATGTTGCTAACTTTTCCACTGCATAAAAAGGATTGGTCCCAAATCAAATGAAAACTTTAACATGCGAGTTAACTGTTTAGAAAATTTAGTATGATCTGGCTGGTAAAGTCATATGGTTTATACTTATAGTATGCAGTGCTATCGAAAATGCAACTGAGATCATGTTCTTACAAGCTGTAACCAGAAACACACCCACGATCATCTGTATTAGTTGCACCAGTGGTAAAACAAGCTTAAAGTTTCGGCATTTATAAATTGAACTTGCATTCATTCCTCTCGATCCCTTTCCCCAAAAACTAGCTGTGTATCTGTAAGTTCACTGCCAAAGAGTAGAAACTAGCGAAGAGAGAGAGAGCCAGAGAATGTCTGTTTGCTCAAGCAACCCTTCACTGCCTGACTTGGCATATGAACTAAGCCAAAACATGTATAGAGAGTAAATCCGAGAAAATTAGATTTGAACAAAAATGGTGCTGAATTGAACTCCTTCAAATCTGAAAATTCAATCCCCTTGTTAAATTCTTTTTGCACCCCCAAGCATATGACGCAATAACCAAACTTTAAAGTTTAAATTAAAGAACTAAAATTTCTTCTTAGCTGCAAATGCAATTCTTACTGAATGATGTTCTATATGTTATCAAATCTGGAATTAACACCTGACAAACCAAAGCATCACATGTCTCAACGTTTCTAGGCTACTAAGAGTAAAGAGGTCAAGGGCTCTTAATAGACATTCAAAATTACTATTTTCTTTTCCTAAGTCGGATCAGATCCAAGTCAACTTAAGACTGCAAAACCATAAAATTGGGTTTCAGAGATTCATAGATAAAAAGCTCTCCTATTGCTTCCATTCTTGGCATCAATCAACAAAGATCTAAAACTTACAGAAACATAAAAAAAAAAAAAATCCTTGGCAAACCTTCTGATCTATGAAGCATTCTCTTCAGTGAAGATAGCCATCAACTCGGCCACAAGCTGCTTGTCATCGTGCTTCCTGACATACCTTTCCAAGAACTTCTCATCCGTAATCAAAACATACCGGAGTGGAGGGAGTTTGCTTCTTGTGTCTCCAAGCAGATCTTTTAAGATGAGAGCTTTGATTACGTTACACCTTGGGACAATCCTCTTCTCCATGCTTAATCCAAGTACCTGAGGGTTTGAAACCAGAGCCTTTAGTGGCCAATTCATCTTTTTCACCACAAACTCAGTCTTCTTCTTCACCAACTCAGCAGATAATCCAATGCACTGAGGAAACCGCTTGACCATACTTACAAAGTCATCTCTGCAGAATCCTAGACCAAGAAATGTTTCAATGGAGTTGGCTACCTTCTTCTCCGAGTTTGTAAGAGAGAGTGGCCACTTCTTGAACATTGCCCATACATCTTCAACAGCAAAGCCTAACCTTTTATAGACTTCAACTTTTTCTTCTACTGTTTTGTCGCTCATTCCGTAAACAGTGCACAGGGCTTCGACAAACGTTGAGGTGGTGGGATCAAAACCCATATCAACGACCTTTTTAAGTGACGCTTCAAAATTTTCTTTTCCACAGCAGACATGTTGATTGGAGGAGATGAGCAAGGAGAATAACAACCTCTGAGGCACCCCCAGTTCTCTCAAAACCAATAAATTTCGGATTTTGTTCTCCTGCTTACTACCATGTGGCAAAGAATGACATAACTTCTCATACTTGGAACTCTTGTCCGCTTCTATAATGACTTTGACGAAATCATAGTATCTGCTGATAGTTTTGTGCCCTCTCTTTCCCAAGATTTTAGGAACTGTAGAAACAATCTGAGTGAGCTCAGAGCTTGAAGCTCCTCTAGACTGCAGAAACTGAAGCTTAGGACCAAGTGATTTCTCAGCATCTAATGTAAGCAATCGTGGGTAATTCGTAATGATGCTGGAGATCTGAGTATCTTTGAACCCGTGACTTCTCAAAAGATTCAGAACAGAATCAGGATTGGCCTTGTCCTCGAAGCTGACTTTCCTTGAAATCGACTCTGCGAGCTTTTTAGATAAACCCAAAGAATCAACGAGGTAAGAGACTGTGAAAGTCTTGCCTTTTCGACCATCTCCAAGGCTCACATCAGCAGCAGAGGAGAAGGAATTGGATAAAGGAGATGCCTTTTGCATTGAAACTCTTAAATGACGCCATTTCTGCAATTCGACCAACTTCCTTCCATGGAGAATCAGAGAATACATGACAAGTGAAAAGCTATTACCGAACAAGAAATGAAATGAGCAAAAAAGACAACTAAGATTGAAGCAATTATTCGACCAATCTATCTGCTTCAGTACGAGAAAACGACAGGATTCTTCTCCAAACTTACTAGTGTAAGGGAAAGAACAAAAGACTCGCGAGTGCTGATCGATGAGTGTTCGAGTTCCCTCGCGAAACCCAAAATCGCAAAAATTCAAACTTTGGGTGTGGAAAATGTATGAACTGGACCCAGATAAATTTACTGTAAATTTAATCAGTCTTTTGGATTTTAATCAATTTACTGTAAAACCTTTATAAATTAACATTGTCTAGACTCTAGACTTTTATTAATTAATAATAATATTATTTTATCTATAAATTAGAAAATTTTAGAAAAAAATACGTTGTACCAGTTAAGAATCCGAATCCGACCGAAAAAACTTGAATCGGTTATAGAAAAATACATGAATAGGTTTTAGAGGTTATGTATTTTGAATATCCGATAATACCCAAATACTAGAATTTAACCCGCGGTATACCGCGGGGCTATATATTTTTAAAAAATATAATGTTATTTTTTTAAGATTAACTGAAGATATATCATATTAATTTGTATTTTCAAATGTAGATATCTATCTATCAATTTTTTAAGTATAGATACGAAAACATATTTTTTTGAAGTAACGATGTATGGTGGATTTTAAAATTTTGAATATTTTACTCTGTAGTATACCGTGGGTCAGTTTTTTTATAACAAAAAATTTTAAATTTAAGTTGGATTTGTTTTGTTAATATTGTTTCTTTTGTTTTGTGTTTAAGATTGTATAATTGTATTTTGATTGTTAATTTTAGAATTTCATTCGTGATATACCGTTTTTTATTAATATCGACCCAAACCCGTCATCCCATATAAACCCGTCTATATTATCTCGTTAGCTAAATTATTAGTGTTATAAAATCCAAGAAAATAATCTATTATTGTTATAAAATCTAATAATTTTAGGATCTCACCCGTGGTATACCGTTCTTTGAACGATTTTAAATTTATACTACTAATATATATTTTAAATTTATCATATAAAGTATATGATTTCAAGTTTTTGTGTTTTTTTTTTATTTAAATAAAGCAATGGCTTAAATGATGATAGATATAGTTTTTTTTTCGGGTTTTGTGCAAAAAAACCCTCGAAGTAGCCAATTTTTGCAAGAAAACCCTCCATCTCAAATAAATGCAAGTCAATACCGCCATCTCAAAAGTCACCCGCAATATAGCCCTCGCGTGTATCGATGACGTGGCAGCCGTTAACTCCGTCTGTGGGTTTTGTGCAAAAAAACCCTCGAAGTAGCCAAATTGCAAAAAAAACCCTTCATTAAACCAATTTTTGCAAAAAAAACCTTTCGGGTATTTTAAAATTCGGGTACGGGTTCGGGTTTACCTATAATACCCAAAAATAATAATTGTTGTATGTAAATCTATCCACCCTATTGTTCGTACCGAAGTTGCAATAATAAATAAGTACGAGTTTTTGGGAGCGAACGGAGATATTTCTCTTATTAACGATAATCGTGCTTCTGTGATTACAGAGATGGAATTCGAGTGAACGAGAATACGAAATATACGCAAGAGTTAGCTATGATTTTTAGAGAAGTAATATATGTTTTGTCGAGGCTCTGAGCCTTACAGAAGGTGATTCCGTGCCGGGCACGTTTTTCGAGGCTCTGAGTCTTACAGAAGTTGATTTCGTGGCTTGCATGTTTTTCGAAGCTCTGAGTCTTACAGAAGTTGATTTCGTGGCTTGCACGTTTTTCAAGGCTCTGAGCCTTACAAAATATTTTGTCTCTTTTGCGACGAATTTGGGCTTTTAAAGAAGATTTTCTGGTTTTACAGAAAACTTATGTAAATTTTACAGAATTCTTCTGTTAAACCCTAGATTTTTCCTTCTCCTATAAATGGATCCACCATGTCTTACTTTGATCATGCCAATGATCAGAAATTTAAGAAGATATCAAAATCGATTATTACCATATTGTTTCCTTTGCTTCCCTGTACAATCGAATTTTCCAACAGTCGCTTTTTCAAAACAAACCTTGGCTACTTTGAGGGTTTTTTTGCACAAAATTTGGCTACTTTGAGGGTTTTCTTGCAAAACTTGACTACTTTGAGGGTTTTTTTGCACAAAAGTTCACTCGTCGTGACGTTTTGGAACGGAGTTAACGGCTGCCACGTCATCGATACACGCGAGGGCTATATTGCGGGTGACTTTTGAGATGGTGGTATTGACTTGCATTTATTTGAGATGGAGGGTTTTCTTGCAAAAATTGGCTACTTCGAGGGTTTTTTTGCACAAAACCCTTTTTTTTCCTGTATGTGTATATAATTTTGATATGTGAATATTTTGATTATTATAAATTAGTATTTTTATTGCTATGCAAAATGTTAATATAAATATTTGCTATATATGTTTTTTGAAGATATATGGAAAGATTGTGTAGAGATTTTTAGAAACAAATTAGGCAAGATATTGTTTGGTTAATATCTTTTATTTAAATTTTGTAAAAGTAATAATAAATGCCAATGGCATGGACTCGTAAATACTTAGCAACTCTAGGATTTATTTGCTAAGTGTACTCTAAAAATGTATATATAGATTTTGGAGTAATTCAAATACTTTTGAATACTTTTGGATAATTTGAGTTATTTTTTACCTGATTTTTCGTGTAATTCGGATATCTATGGATAGTTTTTTTTTTTTAATTTTGAATCCGTACCGAACTCGTAAGATAAAACCCAGAAGAAACAGAATGAACCCAACCCAAAATTTCAAATATCGGAATAGAGCTTGTAAGGCTGGTACCAAAGTCCAAAAATCTGAAATCCGATTCAAACGGGTACCCGAAAGTCCACCCCTTACTTTAGACTATCTAAATTACATAATAGTAATGATTGAAATATTATCAATTTTGCAACTTTGGTTTAGACAAATATTACCTATGAAGAGACGATAACAAAATTAATTCGACACTGCAAAATTTCTTTTTGTGATATATGTTAAAAACTTTCTAATGTATTTATTTGTGAAAATAAGATTTATCAACTCGAGGTAATGAACTAACGATTAGTGATACCATGTAAGGTAACGAACGAATGTAACAAAGAGACCGGAGGTTTCAATCATAAAGGCGATGTGGCTTTTTAATCAAATGTTGGATGAAGGAGGATATGAGTTCTTTTTCATCTTCTCCCTTTTCTCTTTTGTTTTCTTTACCTCTGTTTTAAATTCATAATCGTTGTTTTGAAGATAAGATAAAATAAAATTACTTAAACTTAACAAACAAAAAAAACATTTTGATATTGCAAATATTGTAGTCAACTAGACTTTACACAATAAAATGTCGTTAAAACAACAACACACGCATTGCTTAAATTGATTTTTAAAAAGAAAAGAGAATGGCAAACTCATGAGAAGATAGAATTAAGCCCAACGAATTGATTGCCTGCTTCACTTCAACCTCCTCCTTTACCAGACTTCACACTAGGATTCCGAGACGGCGTTTGCTGCTTCTTAGCCTGGAGGGTCGGCCCATGAAATCCGAGACCTCATTTTCCAATTCCTAATCGTGAGGGCCGGCCCATTAAATCTGAAAACACCTGGCCGAACTCGACCTAATTTTGGGATTATAATAAGAAAATTTAATATAAAAATATTAATATAGACACGATGTTTATAGATGAAAAAAAAATGAATAAGTAGGGACATTTAAAAGTTTGAACACAAAATTATCAAATGTTTCACCAAATTTACATAGTTAATAATATTAATTTATAGGGGTCACATGATCCCCCTAAAACTCTTCTTACCTTGACCGTTAATGACATGGGCGGAAAAGAGAAGGGCGACAAAGAAGAGGAGGAGAATGAAGGATGCAGTACGAGAGGAAGTCATTTGGTATTTAATTAGGGACAAGATTGTGATGGGAGTGAGGAAAACAAGAGAGTTTGCAGCTGCTTTTATAGATTAAAAGTCTCAGGAATATAGATGCAGATCACAATACGTACACACAAGTACGTACACTTTATTAAATAAGTAACAAGTATGTACTTGTGTGTACGTATTGTGATCTGCATCTATATTCCTGAGACAACAGAGGTCCAACACTTTGTAGGTAAGCCAAGTGAATCAACGAGGTAAGAGACGGTAAAGTTCGTCCCTTTTCGACAATCTTTCTGACTCAATTCGAGAAAATGAATCGCTCGTAAAAAGGAAGACGAACTTACTCGCAAAGCACTAAATCGCCAAGAAAAACGGTTAATACTTAACCGAAATTGGTTTACAGAGAGTACCAAACCAATGATGGGTATTATCCCTGTATCAGTTAATTTTGAACCAAAACAAAAAAAAAGAAACAGAATATTATGGACAGTTATTTAATCCAAATTACATTCGAAATTTATGTACTGAAGTTAAAAAAAAACAAATTAAAAGAAAATAAATAAAATTGGAGTCTATGGTCCTCAATTGGGTGGAACCAATTTTGTTTGATGTGATTTTGAGCAGCTCCTCATCATATTGCAAAACTCTTGATAATTAATACTTCCATCCTTTTTTTAAAACAAAAAAAAATGAATTAGAGATTTTAAAATATCTTCAAATTAAACAAATTATGTTTGGAATTTTATAAATTGAAATATTTGACTTACGTTATCAGCATCAACTTCTGAGATAATCTCTTTGATCATGGTATCATCTCCCATATTATACTCTTTCATTGCTGTTTCTAATTCTTGTCTCGAAATAAACCTACAAATACATATAATTGGTTATTGATCCGGTTTAAGTCTGGTTTATCAGTTTGGTAGATATCGGTTTTCGACACTAACCCGCTATTATCTTTATCGAAATGTTGAAATGCTTTGAACAAATTCTCCTCTCTTTCTACTCTGAACCGGTTCATAGTAGCTGAAATGAACTCAATGTAATCAATCGTACCGTTCCCATCGACATCAGCCTAACCAAAAACATAACCAAATTGATGAAAACCGGTTAATTTAAGTTAGTAAAGAGTAAAAACTAAAGAGAACAAACCGCCTTACATCTTCCAAGAGCTGTTTAACTTCGGTTTCGGTTAACCTCGAACCGAGTTTTTCCAGTCCGGTTTTCAATTCCTCGTAGGTGATTGTACCGCTCTTATCAGTATCCATGTTTGCGAACATTGTCTTGAGACCCTTTAGTTCCTCTTCTTTGAGATTTTGCGCGATAAACTTAAACCAAACCACATCAATGAATCAAAACAGGTCTAATTTCATCACTAAACCGAATCCTCAAAGATACTTACTTTAAATGCAAGCTTCTTAAGCTTATTCATAGCTCGGAGTTGCTTCATCCGCGACAAAACCGCGCTATCGATTGGCTTATCAGAAGCTTCTCCACCTTCTCGTATCCACGGATGTTCTAAAGAGAAACCAAAACCGGTTCAATTTCTTTTGGTTCACAACATTAAACCAAACAAACCAAGTATACTAGTAACGTTCACCTAGGACTTGAGCTGCAGTAAACCGTTTCTTGGGATCATACTTTAACATGTTCCTCACCAAATCCTTAGCACTCTCTGAAATCGACGGCCATGGTTCCGACTCAAAATCGATATCTCCTCTCAAAATCTCCTCAAATATTCCCTTATCAGTCTCTGCACACAACAACCAAAAATGTAAGAACTAGTAAACTATAGAAACTACAGAACCAAACCAAGTGGTTCAGTTGAAGTTTACCGGCCCAAAATGGAGGATTGCCGCAGAGAAGGATGTATAGGATAACTCCGGCGCTCCAAATATCTATTGCTTTGCCGTAGTTTCTCTTCAGAACCTCCGGTGCAACGTAATATGCACTTCCAACAATGTCTTCATACACTTTCCCTGAAAAATATGGATTCGTTTAGTCATTGAATTCAAGTTTATTTTTCGAGGAATGTTACTCGGGTTTTACTTTTTAGATTCCTTCTAAATCATGACATCCAAAATCAGATAGCAGAAAGAGGCAAAAACAGAAACAGAATAGTAGTTTCTTGAGTAGCAAGAAACAGCGTAAAGATTGTTTCTTAGACTGCAAGAAAGAAAGTTTATCCCTTTATAATAAAGCATATTTCTCATTTTGGTTATATACCTTCTTCGATGAAAACTGAAACACCAAAATCAGTAGCCTTGAGCATTGAGGAAGCTTCATCTTTACTGGACAACAAGAAGTTTTCGGGTTTAAGGTCGCGATGAATCACACCCATGAAATGACAAATCTGTACAACTTTAACCACACTTCTAATGATCTCTGCGGCTGCTTTCTCTGAGTAATGTCCTCTTTTAGTGATCTTATCAAAAAGCTCGCCGCCTTCACAAAGCTCCATTACAAGATGAACACTTTGTCTGTCTTCATAAGCTCCTTTGATCTCCACAATGTTTGGTTGTCCTGATAAGTAGTGCATTATCTGTATCTCCCTCCTTACATCCTCTCTGTCCTGTCACATTAAATTTCATCAATTCTCTGGAGATTAATGCTCTAATTGGTAACATTTCATAATGGCGGATTCACAGAAACTAATGTAAGAATGTGAGGGTTTATAAGGTTCTTGCCTGAGTTCTGATGAGTTTTCTCTTCAAGATGGATTTACAAGCAAAGTTCTTGCCTGATGAGATCTCTGTACATATATACGTTATACCGAATTGGCCACGACCTAATTCACGACCGAGACTGTACTTCTCCTTAATGTCTTCAAATGGTTTCCCTAAGATGGGTTCTGGTTGTTGCAGACTGATCAGTTTTTGAGGATTGATTAGCTTTTGTTTTTCTTGAAGCTGATGAACTGGAAGTGGAAGTGGGAGTTTATGAGGTTGCACCACAATCTGGAACTTGGCTCTTGGAGCTGATTGTCTTTGACGAGGTTGTTGTGTTGGTGTTATTTCTCTGCTCTGTACCTCTGTGTTTTGTTCTCCATTGTTGTCTGGTGTTGGTTTCTTGAGCTTCTTCTTCAGATTGATACAGAGACATCCCATTTTTTTTTGTATTGAAGAAGGAACTTTTAGGACATAGCCATAGAAGAATTAAGAGATTTAAGGTATTTTGTTGGATTTCATAACGACACCTAAGCACGTTAGTGAAATATGTACTAAGTCAAATATGAGATATAAATTTTATAAAACCAAAATAGAAATATATACTTCAACAACTTGCATCATTTTATTCGTATTTGTATTTCTCTATATTAAAATAGAAATTTTCGTATGATATCTTTGAAATTTTCCATGGACACCAAGAAACTAAAGAGGTCAGATAATAATAATCTATACTCAAATTTTTATACAAAACTAACAATTTGATTGGCTTTTTTAAGTGGCAGACATGTTATTAAATGATGATTTCATTAGTAGAAAAAAAAATGGCTGATAGATAAAACTAGCTTTATCTCCATCTTCATTATATGTATAAACATATATACAACTACACGTTTACAATTAAAAAAAAAAATGTCATGACTCTTTACTCTATTGAGATTAGGTTAACGTAGCAATCAAACTTTCTATCTATACCTTGGAGGTGAAGCAATTTCTTTTGTCTAAGTATATACCTAAATGTGTTTTGTGAGAAATAACAGTCACATTTTTTTTTTCTGGTTCAGAAACAGCTTCAAATGATGATGGGAAGCTCCTTCTTGCTGCCAAAAAGTTTAGGAGGCCAACTTTCACTGAATGTATCATCTCTTTAAACTGCGATGATTTCTCGAGCGGAAGCAATACCTATATGGGAAACCTAAGGCTGAGTCCATGGTTCATTTTTTCATATATTGGCCTTAACTCTTCTCTTACTTTTACCAAAAAAAAAAACACTCTTCTCTTACCTGAATTTTCTTTCAGATCTAACTATCTAAGGACCAAGTTCACTGTCTATGATGCTCAGGGGCAAATCCTGGAGCTCAAAGTGCAAGAAGACTTGTCAATTGGAACAAGTGAGCCTGAGAAGTCAATCTGGAAACTATCCTGTAGCACATATCTCACGTGAGATTCTTCAAAGTCAAGATCTTGGACTTGGGTTCCAGGTGATATTTATCTCCTTCCTTACAGAGAGTAAAAGATGGTTGCTTTTTGTGGCTTTTCCTAATTGTGATCATTGTTGTATCAAACCATAATAACGAGGCCTAAGAGGACGCATTGTGTCATGGATGCCATACCTGCGTCAGCAGTAGAACCTGGAGGAACAGCTCCAACTCAGACAGAACTCGATAATTTCGTGTCATTCAAGTCCCCTTCTGGTCAAAAGGAAGGAGTGCTTGTTCTCAAGAGCAAAGTGCCTAGATGGGAAGGACAGAGCTGGTGCCTTTACTTCAATGGGAGGAGAGACATTGTTGCTTCCGGAAGAAACTTTCAGCTAGTAGCTGCTCCTGAGAACGGACCTGAGGGACTTGAGAATGGAGACTTGATTTTCCAGTTTGCGAAAGTCCGCGAAGATGTGTTCCTAACAGTACCTTATCTCTGCCTTTCAGGCCTTCACCATTTCCCTTAGCAGATTTCAATGCGAACCTTGCAGGACAAGGTTCTTCTTGAGGAGAGCAGTAATGATGGAGTAGCATACCAGCATCAGCGACCAAACCGGCTGAGAAAACCAAATCCTAGGTACCAAGATCAATTCGGTTTGACAAAGTCTTATTTTATCGATTTACCAAATGATCAATTAGGGTTTGACCACTCAGACATAAGAAAAGGGTTCTCGTGGTGGCTTGGAGAAGGAGAGATGAAACATAGCCTGGAGTTGTAACTACTCTTCATTTCATCTCCACCAATCTTTACAAAATGTTCAAATCCAAAAATATAACATCAAAATTATCCCCTTAATCAACAAATAAAAAGTGTAACATCAAGATTCATATCTTAATAAGGTTGCTCAAGTACAACCTCTCAAAATAATCTTGTTCAACAAAAACGTACTTGCATCTAAGATAAAGCATTTGGCCATAACCAATGTTGTGCGCAGTTGTTGATGCTCAAGACCATTGTTTTGTCACATCATCATCAGACAGAGACATGTTGATCGAGCACAAGGGTTCACTGGAAACCGAAACACACTCTTCCCATCTTATTGTTCATTTCATTAATCTGCTCTTTATGTCGCTTAACTGGTGATATACAGTAGCTGAAGTCTTGATCCGGTTTTCTGCACAAAAGATTTATCAAGTGTTTGAAACCCTCTAAGGGAAATAGAGTATGTCATGCTTCCCAAGTTACCTCAATATAGAGGTTCTCAAGTTTATGAGAATGGTGCAAAGACGACTCTCGTTCAGAGGAAAAGTTTGCTAGTAACTTAGATCAAATCGGTTGGGGAGTGTACACGTGAAGATCCCGGGTTGGTGCAAGGGCTTGTTGAGTCCTCGTTATAAGCTATTTTGTTCTCTAGTCTGTTTTTTTAGCCACTGAAACCGGAAGACAAGCTCAAGAATAGAGCAAGTGATCTTGAGATTCCGGAATATCCCGAGGCAGCATTTCAAGTATTTAATAAATTAACTTTGTTGAAAAATTATTTAAAAGTTTTTATACAAATAATATTGAAAAAAAAAGATGAAATAGAATATGTAGCATAAGCTCTGTTGAAACTTTAGGTGACAATATATGGTTATTGAACACCATTGGCTCTGTGTAAAGATATTCTAGAGAATAATGTTTCATATTTTTTTAATTCGGATGTATAATGTATGTTTAGAATAAAATTTTCCTACAAGACGCAGACTAATTGTAGATAAACAAATAGATATTCTCTCTGATCTTTCAAGCCATTGAAAATTAAAAAGTAACTATAGTTCTTCGAGAATCTGTAACTATAAAGCATCAAGTCAATGAACGTATAAATTGTTATTATGAATATGAAGAATCATATCAAACACTAAAATATCTGATCTGACTATAAAAATGTACAATACCAATGTAGTGATGGACCTAATGTTAATCCATTCTTTGCAATAAGAGTGCCTCTAGACCGTTTTGTTTTTTTTTTCTTAATTCAAGTAGTTTCACTTTTGGAAATCTCTATTTCCTGGCTAAAGTTGAAATTAAAAAAATATTAAACTATATTATCAGATATTCAGATGCATGCTAAACATATATATAATAAATTCAAAATTAAAAGTTTAACATAAGGAAAACTGAAAATTGAAATTATAACTTAATGGCTGCTGCTAGAAATATGGTACCTTTTTTAGTCCTAACACTTATCAAGAAAAAAAGGTTCATTTAATCAGTTTTCTTTTCTAAACACTATATTTTTAACAGAAACATGTCGGCAAAAACAAAAATTAAAGATTCTAAATTATTATTAGAAAAGAAAAAAATGAACGGTGAATAGAGGTTAGGAAGAGACATGAGAGTATGAAGAGAACTCTCTAAATTCATTTTCAGAGGGACTTTTCTGAAAAAGGCAAAGGGACCAAAGAGACCCCAAAACATTTTTGACAAATTTGCCTCAATTATATGCTTTGACACAACACTCTCCAAACTTCTGTCACTCTCTTTGATCACTATTATACCCATTACTCCATTGCCTTCCACATTTATACATTATTAGGTATCGATATACGATTTGATAACCGTAGTTCATTTTTATTTTAAAAATATTTAGAAGAAGAAATGATCATGAGTTCTATAGTTCATTTCGATTTTCTAAAAAATATTGTTTAGAAGAAGAACTGAGTTTTTTTAATTATAGTTCGAATATACATCAAAAGAAACGATTTATGCATTTCACATATATTATGATAGGTAAGTCTTGAATCTATAAAGATTAAGCATCAAAATTATAGGCTTTAAGGAGAGACCATAATCAACTACACAATGATTAATTTAAGAGTCACTTGTAACTTATGATAATGAACAGACTAACCACCGGTGAGTGTATGGTCGCTTGGAACAGAGGAGTGAACCCATCATGTGTTTTTTGTCAAGCTCCGATGGAGACACGAGAGCACATCTTCTTCTCTTGTGCTTTCTCATCGCGGGTTTGGGAGGAGCTGGCACAACGACTACTTCAAAGACACTATACAACCAGTTTCATGGAGGTACTGCGTCTTTTATCTGACTCTACAATTACAGGCACGACTGGCTTCATTCTTCGCCTTCTCTTCCAAGCAACTATCCATTCAATCTGGATAGAGCGGAATAAACGAAGGCATGGTGAACTCTCAAGTACTGCAGATCAGTTAATCAAGTCGCTTGATCGAATGATACGCAATAAGCTCTCCTCTGTTCGTCGACTAGATCCACGAAAACATGAGGACGGCCTTCGTGTATGGTTTGAGTCCAGAGACTAACATTCTATTATTCCTTTGAATTCCTTTCAAAACAACTTCGATTAAAGGTTGCATTCATTGTAAAAACGTTTTTTTGGTTGAATAAATTTTACATTCATTCAAAAAAAAAAAAAAAAAAAAAACTTATGATAAACAAAACCACGTTGTAGGAGTAAGTATGATATGGTTTTGGGGCATCGACCTACACTTTTTTTTTTTTTTTTGATATACCCGATCGGCTGATTCGGTCTGTCCCGGAGGAAACGCACCGAAGTGCTACCATGTGGACTCGTCGCCAACACCTAGATGTTGGACTACCACACTGCGTAACCCCGAGTTTGGAATGCTTTCCGACTAATGTTCGGGGTATCCAGTTAGCCTAATCTCGGATACCATAAGAATTGCTTGGGCTTGGGCTTTGGCCCAAGCCCAAACTTCCCAGGTGTTGGACTACCACACTGCTTAACCCCGAGTTTGGAATGCTTTCCGACTAATGCTCGGAGGTATCCAGTCAGCCTAATCTCGGATACCATGTGAATTGCTTGGGCCAAAGCCCAAGCCCAGACTTCCCACACAAATGTGATTTCTGTTTGTAGGGTGGATCGAACATGGGTTAGTTCTTTTCAACGTTTCTTCAATTCTTCCTTACCACTAGACTACAGCCGTGTGGGCCATCGACCTGCACTTATACACGTAATGTGCAGTGTATATAAGCATAAATATCCACTTTACAGTGCATATGTAACTCAAAGTGGTGTTGGGTCGATTTGTTGTGTATGTGAGTAAGTTACAAATATTTGGACAAAATAATTTTCTTCTTCTGCTAGTCCCTAACAAGAATTCAAGATTTGTTTTTTTTTTTAATATTCTTATTGGAGCATAAAGATATTCATTTATACGTAGTGGCTATTGAGTTTTAGATCATTTTTCTATTGTAGGGATGATTGGAATATTCCTAATATGTTGGTTGTCTTGTCATAATCAAACCACATATTGCTATTAAGTTATATATGCATCTCACTACAATGTTTAAGGAAAATTAGTCAAATATACACAAATGAATGAAACACAATTGTCCGATTCTGCATTTATAGATCTTTTTTTATTCCATTAATATATGATCATGAATTGTTTTTACCTATTTTTGTGTTCTTAGAGCATAATACATTTTTGTCAGCATTTTTTCTTTTGTTATGTGGAAACTATTAAGTTTCAGGATAGAGGTGACATGTGACTTTAAAGGTTGTGAATGGGAAGAGAGGCGGAGTGATATTTTGTTTGAAGTTGTGGGCTTTAGTAAACAAAATCAATTAGTCTGCATGAGGATCATTTTTACAATGCAAAACTGTGTTCCACCCATGACTCATTCCTTAATTGGTTAATCTTCCATTTGGTAACTATATTCTTGTGGTATATAAAGGCTTTAAGAGTTATCGAAAAAACGATATGAACTAGCGTTTACCAAACCAAAAACAGAGATCCATGAAAAACTTAGTAGATACTACGCCATTGATACACCATCATGGTTTTTGCTGATAAAAAGACAAAATAAAACTAAAAATAATGTCTTCTTGCTCGTGAGTGCCCACTTTAAAGTGGATTCTTTGGACTGTTTACATAATTTATGTTTCAAGGACACATCTGTTTTTGTTATTATACAACTTCCCTTTCACATGATATCAATTACCTAAATTAATTAATTCTAAAAGCACATTAATAATTTAACATTTACACAGTAGATTAACTTGACCAATGAAGTATGAACCGTTCTAACTTCTAAATATTTAAAATATTTGATGACAGCATCTGAGTTTTAATTAATTTAAATTAATCATAGAAATTAAATTGTGGGAATAAAAATACTTATTACTTTAGTTTAAATGGTCTTATTACTATACAGTATGTTGCTTTCTACAAATTATATTTTTGTTTTATAAAAGTAAGATATTTACATTTTCAATTAAAGAGATTTGATAAACTCAACTTTAACATTGCAATAGTGTACTTTAGTTAGAAAGATAAATTACTTGAGTTTAAACTGAAAATGATGTTGTATTAATTAAATAATACATTAGACATTACCTTGAGTTTTTTTTTTTTTTAATATGAAAACTCATGTTGCACTGATTTATAACTCACAGCTAATTATCCCTTAAGCTAATTAACATAAGACAAAATTAGTTTTGAATTAAAATATACATATAGACAGAACAGAACAACAACATACGAGGAACTTGAAATTTTGGCCTCGTTCATAATAAAAACGCAAAATAATAAATTTTCATAATCACAAAATTACTTCTATACTGGCAAAAACAAGTAATTTTAATTGAAATCTAAAATGTTTTTTTTTTCATTTATTAATTATTACTTAGCCGTAGAACCCTGTTTGGCTCCAAATCGCATCTCGAACGCGTCTTAGTTCTCTGCCTTTGAGAGTCCTTCCGACGCCTTCAAACACCGACGTGCCACCGCCGCCTCCACCTCCGATCTTCCTGCTCCGCCGTGCTTGATTCTTAGCAAGGTACTCGTGCGGCGGCATCATCCCGGATTCCTCATCCTCTTCATCATCGTCGTCTAACTCGTGTATTGACTCAACCGAGTCCACTCGGTATATCTTACTCCAGTCCGGTACGTTTACCGGCGCCGACGACGCCAATTTACGCCGGATTTCTTCTCCCTCACCTCCTCCGCCGTTGATCTTCTGCACTATCATCGGCGAAGACGACGGCGGCGCGGCCAAAGAGCCCTCGAAAGCCAGCGACAATCCTCCCACGCGCCCGTTTTGTCCCAAGGTAGCGCGTAAGTTCCACGCACCGTATGATTCGTCTGTCTCGGTGGTGTCGTGAATGACGGCCGGTGACCAGATGTCTTCCTCAGCGAGCTCTAATTCGTCGGTGACGGAGTTACCATGACTGTCACCGTAACTGTAACTTCCAAGGTATCGATCGCTCCGGTTCATCGTCGTCGGGTTTCGACCTTTTGCCATGCAACAACTTCGCCCTCTTCTTTAATCTCTAAACTAATCACTGATTAATTCAATTTAATTACCATAAAATGTTAACTATTAATTATTAGAGATTTTGCTATAAGGTTCACACCGAGGGAAATGGAGGAGTATATATAGCATCTCTGAAGAGAAGAGTACAAAAGAATGTGATACAATAAAGAAAATAAAATTCTTATATTGGTACCAACATATCAATTTCTTACAAATGGATCCTACATTTATTATAGCGCTCTAGAACCCAAAATTTCGTCTTTTTCCCAATAGTTATCGTTTTAAGATTTAAAATTTGTTTTATAATAGTTGTCGTTTTAGGTTTTCAATGCAAATATCTGGTGAAAATTTCAGTTTTATCCATACTGCTTTAATGTTTTGGCCAATGGAAAAATTATAAAATATATTAATAGATGATAAAATAGAGAATTTAATAGTTTTTTTTTATTTGTGTGAGAAACCTTAAACGACAACTAAAACAAAACGGAGGAATTATATTCTTGGATGATCTTATATAAACATCCAGTTAAAAAAAAAAAGATAAATCAAGTTAGAATGCAATGTTTGAAATTCATATTGTAGCATTAGCAAACTTAGAGAATTAATATTATAGTATTGATTTTTTTTTGTTTTACGACGTATTGATTTGAAATCAAGTGTAAAAAAACTGATGTAAATGTGAAGTTGAGCATTTTAAATTTATAGTTATTTTCTGATATTAAAAAACAATTCGCGTGGGAGGAATATGTTGTTCAATAAATGTCCTTAATATTCGGTCATCTTATACTAAGAAAACGAATTTTAATATCGACCATCTGTTTTATATTTTGGTCAAATCAAAAGAGGAATCTGTGTGACTATGTCACTTTGATAAGAAGGTGAAGGACCTTTCATAACGCAATAAAAAAACGCCGATGAGTTAACGGGACTTTGTCAAAAAAAACAAACACAAGCACAAAATTGTTTGGGAATTCTAAGAAATTAACTTTGACAACAACAAAAAAATGTGAGAAATTAAGGTGAACCACGTAACGGGCTCACGTCGGCCCGTGATTGTCAGTTGTCACTACGAAGTTTCTAGAAAATAGTGTACTTATCAACTTGCCAAATTGGGAAAAAAATAGAACAGTTTTGGTAAGAAAAAACAAGTAATTGTGTATGCTAACTATTAAAAAAAATCAATATTATGTATAACCAGACTTTCTTAAGTACAAAAGATTCTAAACACAATGTTTTTTTGTTTCTTTTATCAATTGTCTAAACTAGTTTCACATTCGCATTATTTCTCATATGTGATTACATTTATGATCTACAAAAAAAATGTGAGCTGTTAGGAGATTTTAGAGATTACGAGATTGATTCAAACATGATTCATTTCAACATATACATTGGTCCGTTATGGCGAAAGAGAATAAAATAGTAAAGCCAACTAAACAAACTATATGTTGAATGATTTGGCATTAGCAGATTATATGAGATTACAATATCACAAACATTAATTTACATTATTGTCACTCAATCATGAATCAGTATTTAGTGAACTAGTAGTAGTTAATTAAAAGTGAATAAGCCATTTGAGTTTGTATTAATGGAATCATTGAATAAGAATAGCAAGAAGAGTGTCCACTTGTAAAATTCTGCGACGTACTCTGTACAAAAAGATGGGTCACATTGAACGGCTGAGAATGAGAGACAAGAGTATCAGAGAGGTTTTAGTAAATGTAGCAGTTACAACTTACAAACTTACACCCACAATATATATAATTTTAATCTAAGAATATGCATATGCATTATAATAAGTTCGAATTTAAATAGCAACACAATAATATTAACACAAACGATTAAACTACAAATCTTACTCGCTTACACAAACGGAAGAACAATCATCTATTTACTCGCTTACACAAACGGAAGAACAATCATCTATTTACATTATTCAATTTGTCAATGTATCTTAATTTTTAATTTTCTTTTATATGTATTTTTATCTTTTATTGTTATATAAGGGACTACTTTTTAATGTGATTTTTTTGGTGTCAGTGTATACTTGTCTTTTCGTGAACTTCTTATATGGCCATTCAAACATGAAGTAAACGTTGACCGGCCAATTTAAACATGAAGTATTCGTTGACCAGGCCAAAAACTACACGCCGTTATCTGTCGTTAACAAATCCGATAACAGCCGTTTAACTCTCGTTAACGATTCCGTTATTGCCTAAACGACGTCGTTTTGGGCTTAATCTAAACCCCGAAAATCCCCAAATTGATTTTCAAATCCCTAATTCTGAAAAATCCCCAAAATTAGAACTTTAAGGCCGATTTTCGAGGCGAAGCAGAGAGTGTTGTGGATGCTGGAGTTGAAGCTCGAGGCGAATCTGAGATTGTTGTCGGAGACGGAGTTCAAGCTCCACCGGCGGAAGCGTTTCAGAGCCAGGTGGCAGAGATGGAATTCTAGTTCAACCGAATATCGGAGACAAAGCTCGTGGCCGGCGTCAAAAACGAAGAAAACGACGTCGATTTGGGGATTTTGGGATTTCGATTAAGCCTAAAACGACGTCGTTTTCGGTAATAACAGAATCTTTAACGGTTATTATCGGATCTGTTAACGACAGATAACGGCGTGTGGTTTTTGGCCTGGTCAACGAATACTTCATGTTTAAATTGGCTGGTCAACGTTTACTTCATGTTTAAATTGGCCATATAAGAAGTTCACGTATTAAACGGCCATTTTTTTAAAGTTCGGCTATTAAACGACATTTTTCCCTATTTTTCCCTCCTCATAGTTTTTTTTTTCTTGATTGATAAACTTTTACTCATAGTTCATAGTTATATTGATATTTGTTATAGATTGTAATTATATTAATTTATTTTAACAAAGACAGCGTATAAGTGCATAGGATTCAATAGTAAATACTCTTACGCTTAGAAAGGGGGAAAATGTATCAAGCGGTGCATATCAAACAAATCAAAATCAAATGTATCAAATAAATCAGACTAAAATGTTGCTGATTAAACGGTTCAAATATATGTTTGAATGGAAAAAATTTTAAAAACGGTTTGATAGTAAAAATACAAAAAATAATATGTAACAAAAAATTTAGATAAATTTTCTTACAAAATAATGTATATATTATAATAAATTTTATTAGATTTTAAATTGACATATAATCTTTCATTTTTGCAATATACAATTCTATAATGATAATTAAACAATAACAAATTATACTCATTTTAAAATTGCTATGTTATTTTATCTATGATTAATTTTTCAAAAATTCAATTTTTGAGTTTTTTTATTATTATAACAACAGTATTTAATATTTTTTGTACTTGTAAAAAAATCCATGAATTATATAACATTTTATCCTTTTCATTAGAAATTAGAAACGCGTAGGGATTTAGAAGATATCTTTATTGGAGGTCGAAGTTTACTCTGCACGTTTTGAATTTACAAAAACGTTCTTGTAATAACGTAGCTCACCATCTTGCTAAGCATATTTGTAACTAATCTGTTTTTTACTTTGATTTGTCAACTCTTACGGAATGATTTGATCAATTAACATATTACTTTTGAATGAAAAAAAACGCATATCCTAGTCTCTCTATCTTTTTTTTTTTCGCCTCCTAGTCTCTCTATCTTGTATTGCTTTATTCTATTCATTAATAGTCGTCATTCTATAAATAATTTCAATTATTATTCATAAAAGACTAGTCGACTAGAGTTTGAATTATTATTTTTTGTGTTTAATTTCTAGGTTGCCGAAAAAACCGCCATCTATTTTTTTTTTGGCCGTTTAATACGTGTAGTATTAAATTTGGAATAAAAATACTTTATTTAATTTCGGTTGCCTTTAAAAACCTTCATTTTAAAAAAATTGGCAAAATCGTACCTCCGAGTTAACAACCGTTAACTTTGCTAACAGAAGCACTAACTGCGGTTAAAACTTAACCCATGGGGTTTACGTATATATATACAATCTATTTTCAACATTTTTCGAATGCATTGCCTTAGTCTAGTGGTTAAATGTTCGTTAACTACCCTATTGATCTTGGGTTCGATCCTCACTTCCTTCTATTTTTGACGTTTTTAACTTTTTTTTTTTAATTTTTTTTTTCCTTCATTGAATTCGAAAGGAAGCGTTCTCCAAAAGAGAGAGTCACTAGATCGAAGAGAAAAGGAGGCAAAATCGGAGGATCCTGAGGGAAGATACAAAGGAGATGCGAGAGATTGTTGATGTTGCTGTTGTTTCGGCTATGGCGGAGTGAAATTAGGGTTTTGGAAGAGAGAAAAGCTTACCATGATTTACAGGTCGATTTGATGCGAGAGATGTGAGGGTAAGGGACGAAGAAGAGAATCAGTCTCGCGACTTCGTTGAATAAGCCTGGAATTAAGGTTAAGTTTGGATCAATTTGAGGCTTAGATTGAAGAAACGTTGGATGGAGGTTCTGGGTTTGGTTTGAAGATCCTGAGGAGAAGAACCCCGCCAATCAGAACCAGATTCTTCACCACAAGGCCACGAGATTAGCTCAACCCATTCAAAGCTTGACTCGAGATCCGAATTCGACCCCTTGACCATAAACGTTTTCGATTGAGCCCAAATCTCCCATCTTTAGCATCAGATGTTTCCCAGGAGAAGCAAGATTTCTCTGTCTGTGGGAAAAAAAAATTAAAGAAAAAAATTAAAAACGTCTGAAAGAGACGAAGGGGAAGCATCGAACCCAGGTTCCATAGGGTAGTCAACCAACGTTTAAACACTAGACTATGGCAATATATTTGTAAAATGTTGAAAATAGATTGTATATATATACGTAAACCGCATGGGTTAAGTTTTAACCGCAGTTAGTGCTTCCGTTAGCAAAGTTAACGGTCGTTAACTCGGAGGTACGATTTTGCAAATTTTTTAAAAATGAAGGTTTTTAAAGGCAACCGAAATTAAATAAAGTATTTTTATTCCAAATTTAATACTACACGTATTAAACGGCCAAAAAAAAAATAGATGACAGTTTTTTCGGGTTTTTTCCCTAATAAAAAGACACCACCTTCTATAAATAATTTCAAGTGACCTAGAAAAGATAAGGGATTCTATATGAATTTTATTTTCATGTTATTATTAGAGTATACCATCACGAGTGACCTGCAAACATAACTGAATATATTTATTTTTTCTTATGAACTTTAATGTCTAACTATATTAAGTGAGAACAGAGAAACACCGAATGATATTAAAGTACTTTACGCAGACACGAATCCTTTATTAATTTACAATGTTAGCTTAGTTTAGATGGCCAAATAAAGCTCACTAATCCCACTATTTTAGTTCAATGAATGAATGATTCCTTTAATGATTACACCTTTTATTATTTTTAAGACGAGTTTAATTAATTTTAAGAATTTTCCAAAACTAAAATTTAAAGAAGACTTATGATAAAAACTAGTGATATGCTCTTACCTCTTTTACCATTTTCATTAGCATGGTTCATTTCTAAACATTTGATAGTCATAGCATTTATTGCTATTTCTCTTTGATAATCGAAGATCTTTAACAGAAACTTCAACTAATCCTATTTAAAATATCTCTAATAGCAACCTAGAAATTAAACACAAAAAATAATAATTCAAACTCTAGTCGACTAGTCTTTTAGTTTACATAATGAAGTTTTTAATGATTGGATTACCATGAAATTTTTTTGATATCTTGTAAGGTAAAATATTGGTTGTCAAGAAGTATAAAACGAGAATGCTTGGCCATGTGCAAAGCCGTAAGGCCGGCCAAGATTGGATCTGTAGATTCCATCGATCATTTTCGCCAACCATAAAACAGACAAACTTAGGGATTACATATTACATTACATATGTATGCATGAGAAACATACAAAATAAATAATAGAGATGAATAATTTGATTTTGTGATAAAGACTAAAGTGTACTCCACGAATTAATAAAAAGACATCTTTAAAGGAAGAAAAGAAGACATCCAACAAAGTTGGAACCCGTGAGACTGATCGGTAATTTGCCATTTCCTATGTCTCAGATTGACAATATACTTTAAACCTACCTGGCCCAATGATCCATCACATTTACTAGCCATGTCCATTAGTATACTGGTCGTTTTTAATTGGTTCTGAAAAAAATATGAACTTTTTAATCAGATTCTTTAGGTTTGGGGGTGCTAACCATAGCCCAGAGCCGTAGCTGGATAGAAGCAAGAGAAGCGGGAGCTGCGGCCCTCCGAGAAGTTATTAATATTTTCGGCCCTTAAATACAAATATGTTTTGGTAGCCTAGTGGTATTATGTCATACACCACATATCTTAGGTCATGAGTTCAAATCACCTGCAGCGTGAGAGAAGTTTTTTTTTTGTTTTTTGTTTTTTTTTATTGTTAAATTTTTTTATAAGTATACACTTTTCTAGAGCGGCCCTTTTTTTTTTTCCCCGGGCGGCCCTCATAATCGTTGCTACGGCTCTGCCATAGCCCCAAATATTTTTGTTTGATCAATTAAATTTTTCTTTTTTATTTTGTCAAGAAAAGATCTATAAAATAAAATGTTTCAAAAATCCAAACCAGAATTGCGTAAGCCACAAAATAAATCACAAGAACGAATTCTAGCACTACGTCTACGACTACGAGTGTCTTAATCGTTGATGTCTCAACGTTTTACATTTGGAATCCCTCTTGTTATTCGAACGTGGGCCTTGTAAGCCCATTAATAGTCCATCATAATGATCTGGATCCCTCTTTAATCTTATCTCCAAAAGCAGCAAGCACGGTTCCGCTGGGCTCACGTGGCCATACCCTACGCCTTAAGCATAGTCACGTGCCATTAGTGTTCCATTTCTTTAGCACGACGAAACTATCAGAAAGTAAAACAATCAATAAATAAATATGAAATTTAATTATTTAATTTACAGTTTTTGTTTTGTTTTGTTTTGTGGTCAACTGTAATTTACCGATAATTTTGGATTCATCTTATTTTATCTGTAAAACGAACTATTGTAGAAAATTTCCCAGTTAAAAAAGTTGACTTTAATTAAGCTTGTGAAATAAATTAACTTTAGAATAATCGTGTATGACTTTTGCCCATAACTAGTAGATCCTAAAATGTCTGAAATTAATACGAACACAATTCATTCATTAATTTACTTTTGTACTTTGTAGAATCGATTGATTTATTATACTTGTTACATGCTTTTAAAATTATGGACCAAAAAGTATAAAATTATGGACAAAGAATTGAAAATTATGGGCAAGAAAAGAAAGTAAAAACTTTTCTAATTCTAATGTAACAACATATTTGGTTGAATTAAATACGACCACAATAATAGCCTTACTTATTATATCACATATCTTTCATGTCCCCAAGTCGCCAAGTTATAAATGCTATCCAATATTCTCAATTTTAGACCGGTTTAAACCAACAGGCTTAATAATAACAGCTCCAACGGTTTGGTTCTGTTTATTTATTTCTCGGTACGATGAGCATTCAATCCAGCTGAAGTAGTAGCTTCTAGCTACGATAATATTAATTTTCGATCCGTTTAAATAATTTTTTTGTTTTGTTTTTGTTGGTCAATTTATTGTCTTATTATAGAGAATTTTACTTAGCAGTACAACTTATCATAAGCTAAACAACAAATAAGGAAAAAAAAACGGAACTTATAACACACAATTACACTTACAATGGTAAAAGGAACAAAACCAAACTTATAATACTACAAAACTAAATAATTTGATGTCATCTTAAAAGTTTAAATTTCGATAAAATTACGTCATTCTATTTTTTAGATAAAAATCGATTAGGAATATTTTCATTTTTTCATCTCCCACTAAAATAACAACAAAAACAGACTATAAACAAAATAAGCAAATTACAAAAATATTAAAAGTAACATAATCGATTCCAATTTTGTAATTAACTAAATTGTAGGATACCCAACAAACCAAATATCTCATTCGGTTAATTTGGATAAATCAGAACCCGGTTTAAATTTGATACAAAGAGGAAATCCGGTTAAGGTTCCTGTTCCGGTCTGGTTTTGGTTTTGTTAAATTTCCACTATGGAAGAAAGAGTGAGAGAGAGAGAGAAAAAGGTGGGGGGAATTTAATGGAGGAGTAATAAATGCTCTCAAGCGCTCTCTCTTCCCTTCTCTTCTTCCCTTCTCTTCTTCCACAACAGACTGTGTTCATTACTCGTGGGGTCTCTCTCTCCTCTCTATCTCTCTCTTTCTCTGTGAAGACGAAGACAGCTGTTTCTGAGTTTCCCTTTTGTTTTTGTGTCTATCTTCTTCTCAACCAAGTTTTTTTGTCTCCAAAATCCGCAAAGAAACGCCTTTCTCTTCTTCCTTAGATTTCTCGGACTTTCTTTTACTAGTGGGAAAAAGACAGAGAATCTCAAAAAAGTCCTAACTTGTCCAAAGTCCAAAGCTTTTGAAAGAGACCATAAAAACAGTGCTTAATCTCTCTCTGTCTCTGTCTGTGTCTCTCTCTCTCTTTTGGGGGTTTGAGGAAAGGAGAAGAAAATGACGAGAAGAGCTGAATTTGAGATGGGTTTGTTCGTGATTCTTCAATCCATGTTTCTGATGTCTCTATGTAAGTTTTGTTTCTTTAATTTGTGGGTTTTTAAGGAAGAAGGGTTTAGAATTCTCTGTTTCTAATTCTGTTTTCGTTTGATAGAAAGTTCGTTTTTTTCGTTGAGATTTCGCTTGTTTTGGAACAATTTACTTGTTTATTTTGATGGGTCATTGTAAATTTACCTTCTTTTATGTAGAAATTAATCGAATTTCTGGTGAAATGTTGAACTAAGCTGGGGTTTAGAAGCTTCATGGTGTTTAGGTTACTTAGATTAGGGTTTTTGTGTAGTTAACGAATTAGGTTACTTTCTTCAGAGACCAAAATTGTATAGAAAAAGTTTGATGATTTTGGTATCTTATTGGTTTAGGTTCATCACAGGAGTTCTTACCTGAGATATCACCAGATACTTCTCCTCAACCATTTCTTCCCTTTATTGCACCGTCTCCAATGGTTCCATACATAAACAGTACCATGCCGAAACTATCGGGTTTGTTCTTGTTTTAACTTGGTCACATTTCTCTATTAGTAATTTGCCTTTGGTATACTAATTGTTATCAGTTTTTCGGGTATCTTCAGGGCTTTGTTCGCTTAATTTCAGTGCGTCTGAGAGTTTGATTCAGACAACTTCACACAACTGTTGGACTGTGTTTGCTCCATTGTTGGCAAATGTGATGTGTTGTCCTCAGCTAGATGCTACACTCACGATAATCCTTGGGAAAGCGAGCAAAGAAACCGGTATGCTTGCGCTAAATAGAACCCAGTCTAAGCACTGTCTCTCGGATTTAGAGCAAATCTTGGTAGGCAAAGGCGCTTCAGGTCAGCTTAATAAGATCTGTTCTATTCACTCGTCGAATCTCACTTCTTCGTCGTGCCCTGTTATCAATGTCGATGAGTTTGAAAGCACGGTGGATACAGCAAAACTTCTTTTGGCCTGTGAAAAAATCGATCCTGTGAAGGAGTGTTGCGAAGAGGCTTGCCAAAATGCGATACTCGATGCTGCTACGAATATATCTCTTAAAGCATCAGAAACTTTAACTGATAATTCGGATAGGATCAATGATTGCAAGAACGTAGTAAACCGCTGGCTCGCTACTAAACTTGACCTTTCTCGGGTTAAGGAAACTCTCAGAGGCTTAGCAAACTGCAAAATCAATAGAGGTAAAAACAATACGATGTAACATTTAACTTTCCGTTTTGGGTAAACATGTCACATTTTTTTGTCTATTGGTTTCAGTTTGTCCTCTTGTCTTTCCGCACATGAGGCATATTGGTGGTAACTGCAGCAACGAGTTGAGTAACCTAACGGGTTGTTGCCGTGCAATGGAAAGTTATGTGTCTCACTTGCAAAAACAAACACTTATAACCAATTTGCAAGCTTTAGATTGCGCAACCAGCCTTGGCACAAAGCTACAGAAACTTAACATCACTAAGAACATCTTCAGCGTTTGTCATATAAGTCTCAAGGACTTCTCTCTTCAAGGTTTCTACTTTATACTTCAACGTCTCTCTTTTTTTTATGTCCCTCCTTAAATTTCAAGATATGTCTCTAACTCGTTCTGTTTATTTTTCGTGCTTGATGATGCATCATGGTTGGATTCAAACAGTTGGAAACCAAGGTATAAATTATTTTCCTCGATTTTCATATCTATATTCATCATCAAGAAAACCCCAAAACCATTTTGTTAACTTGAATATTTTGTTCTTTTGGTGTAAAGAATCTGGCTGTCTATTACCAAGCTTACCATCTGATGCGATATTTGATAAAGACACGGGAATAAGCTTTACTTGTGACCTCAACGACAACATTCCCGCTCCGTGGCCTTCATCTTCTCAATCCTCAGCATCTACCTGTAAAAAACGTGCGTGGTTATCGTATTTGTCTTCTTGAAATCCGACATTTTACTCTCTTTTGTTAACTTGCATTCTTTTTCTTTTTTTGTTCTTTTTCAGCTGTTAGAATTCCTGCTCTTCCGGCTGCTGCCTCCTCGCAACCCCGTAAGTTTTCCCCATCTCACATATTTCACGAAAGAAACTTTAACGGTTCTTTCAAAATCTGAAATGTGTATCCTCTTTTGATCTCCAGGTCTCTACGGCGATGGAGTGACACGTTTGGTGATCTTTGTCTTGTCTATGGTTCTTGTGATGCTTCTATCATAGTACTAGAACTAAACCGGATCCAGTCTTCTCTCATACCGGTTTACTAGTCAATAGGTGTGTTTGTGTAGATCAAACCGGTATAGTCGCTGCAGAAGTCGTATGTTGACATGACCGGTTCAAGTGTTTGAGTTGTTGAGGTATAAGTTTCGGAAAGTCTTTTTATCTTTTATTGATTCATGATTCTTGAAAACCTTTTTAATGTAAAGAAAAGGTATTGTAGGGTTTATATGTAAGCTTATAATATATTTATTTATAGACTGTCGATTTCATAATTCAAAAGTGTTACTTGAATAATTTGTATGATTAGGCTGCGTTTTGAATGGTAGTCTTCTAGGCAATGATAGACGAGTACAACCATCCATGTTTCTTAGCATCTTCCAAGACCCACAATTCAGATGTTGTGTGCAATTCATAGGATAAGTTACTTTCACTTTATAGATTACCAAAGATTGATGGTGATAGTTTAACAAAGATGGACCCTTAAAATTGTACTCCTTGACCAAACTGTACACATCTCACATCGTACCTCACTAACCACCAATCACTCATCCTAGTGCCTGTGAAAGCACTACAATGCACACATGACACACCGTTAGTTTTTGGGATGGTGATGAATGTTACATTATTATTTTTTTGTGTAGAATAGTGTGATAAGTCTGTGATCAAAGTTACATTCAATCATCCATCATGACTTACCAACTTAGTGTACTGACGTATATGATTATTGTGATCCTTCCTCCTTTAACCTTCTCACATTTTGGATGACTTTTACAAGTTCTTTTTAAACTAAAATGTCATTTACATATAGATTTGGGGTCAATGTGCAATAATTTTTAGCAACTGGATAGTCTAATATGTGAGCACAATAGTGATTCTATGTTTTTGGCACCTTATACAAAAAATATATTATCAAATTGTTATAGAAATTTGGTATCTTCGCCATCTTAAAAAAAATATATCAATCACCACTAAATATTTACCGTTTTTCTCTTTAGATATTTACTTTCAATTTTAAAAAATATTTTAAAAGTTAATGTTATAAGAAAAAGCAATTCTATATTATAATTCTTTATAAATATGTACGGGTTTAGTACTAACAAAATATATATATACTAATGGAATTGCCATGTACCGTTTGGTTCGGTTATTCGTAAGTTCTTTGTAAGATATTACAAACTTTAAGTAGATGATGGCTGCATGACTTTGATTTTTATGTCGACCAGGACCACTAAACTATATGTTATGGTCCACAACTTTTAATATATTTGATATAAGTATTTGTTAATTGTTTATGGGTTATTGGGTTATCTTATCTTCTCGGTTACAAGGATTTAATTAACTTAAAACTTGTTTTTTTTTTTTTACTCTTATGAATTGAAAGAATGCTTCTTATTGCTGATATTAAAGAAAAGAAGAATGAAATCAACAGTTTACAGAATGAGATTGACCATTTTAGTGATCAAGAGATTATAATGCCTCGAATGATGTCCTTCGCTCATGAACAGCTGAGTGCTGCAAAACAAGAGCTTTATTGTCTCGAAGATAAAGCTAAACGCTTCCTTGCAGACATTGGAGCATCTTTGTTGGTCTGAAACCAAAACTGACTTTTTACTCTTAGCTATCTTGGTTATGTTATTTCAATTTCAAACTTTTCTTTCTTGTTTAATGAAACTTTGCTTGTGTTTTTTAGACATCTATGTTGCTTAACCTAAAGTTGAAAAAAAAAATATTGAAAGAATGATATATAATAGCATAAATGATCTCATAAATATATATTTTCCTTTTTGAGTTTTTAACTATAGTTTTTATTTTTATTTCCATTTTGCAGTTTTGTTTTGTTTATTTTTTGCTTTACGTTCTTCACTTTTTAAAAGTAAAAATATAGAATACATCAGTTTATTTAACGATATAAAATAATGAAATAATCACATAAACAATCAAAGTTAAATCACAATATTAATTTGACATATAATTTCATTAGCATCATTTTTTAATTGATGTAAACTTTGTATCAATATTTAAGTAATGTCAATATACTAATATAAATACATCAAATATTAAGTGATGTAAATGTATATATTTATATCAATATATTAAAAGTGATGCAATTTGCATCAATTTTAATGAACTGATGTCATATAAGTCAATAATGACATTGCTTATTGTAAATGATGTTAAATTACAATTTACAATTTTTGTATCGATTATTAATAAGTAATTAAAATTAGTATCTTTTATATTTTTGACACAATTTCATTGATGCAATACATTTTTTTTTTCTAGCGATGTATATATCGTACATGAATCTTAATTGTTTTATTGAGATTTTTCAAGACCGTCTAAGAATTTTTTGTTTGTTATCGAAGGGTTTTCTGGCCGTCGAAGAATCAGAGATTAGTATTTTATATTTTTCAGCTTTTGTAATAATAATGTGATCGCAGAATATGAATGCTTGAAAGAAAAGATATATGAATGCTTATCTTTGCCTATGTTTGATGAATTTTCTTTTTTTTTAATCTACTAGAACGTGAGGTGGCAAATAAAAACTCAACAACTTCTTACTAAACGATACAAAGTTCCAATTTTCCACTCGAAACTTATCCACACTGACAAGGAAAAAAAAAACACAATTTGACTTATCATAAAAACATTTTGGTTCCAGTTCCAATTTTCCAGTCGGAAACCTATCCACATTTATTCATTATCAATAGACGTGGACACAACAATCCCACGAGATTCTCGAGTTTTCAATCTCACACGTACGTACATATATGAACACAGCTTACAAAATTCCAAGTCGGCCTATGTATGCATTTATAACAACGTAGCCTACTAAATATAGTAATCATAATGTTATGGTTATCTATGGAAAAAAGATATGGTGGATAAATTAGCTAGAAAACAGTTCAGCTATATCGTGAACATCTGTCAGTTCATTACAAATTTGCAATGCAGACGAATCCAAGATTCTGATGATTAATAATTGAATTATGCTTTTAGTTGTAGCGACAACTCATTAGCGCACTATCTTCAACTCATTAAGTATACAAAGTTAATCTTATCTCAAACTTATGTTTACTTAATTCATTCTGTAACGCACATTAGATAACCTTTTATCTAGACGATAATTGCAACAAAGATAATCAAATGCAGTGATATTAAAAATAGTTTATGGTTATAAACGTATAGATATTTATTGAAAAAAATTTCTAGAATTATATAGAAAATATGATAAATTAATTTCAATGCTCGATTGAAATTTTATTTAATATGAAACCAAGTTAATTATGTTAGTTATGTGATTTCATCGTGGTAGTCAAGATATGAGTTGATTCTTGTAAGAGATGTCTTTGGGTAATACTATGAAATTTTAGTAGTAATTAATTAACTAGAAATTAATTAGGATTTAGTTTAAGAAATACAAATATATATATATATATATATATATTAATAAATGCGATCCCCAATGCCACATGGTGGCATGTGAGAGAGTATTAACTATCTCCATTTATGCATCTGGATGTTTAATACTCAAGAATTGAATTTGGATGATGAATTTGGATGTTTCAATACCCAAAAAAGTTGTTTTTTCCAAAAATAGCACCTCATTTGAAAAGTTCCACAAATAGCACCATAAAGTTCAATTAAACCTAATAAAAATATAAGATAGAAAATAAAAAAGAGAGCAAATACTAATCTAATATTAAATTGAATCAAAATTGTTTTTAAATAGTGGAAATATATATTCTAATTTGGAAATAGGGAACCCAAATATAATACCACAAACTAATATTAAAATAAAAATCTCTTTTAAATGGTGAAAATATATACCCTAAATTGGAAATAGGGAACCCAAATATAATACCATAAACTAATATTAAAATGAATCAAAATCTCTTTTAAATGGTGGAAATATATACCATAAATTGGAAATAGAGAACCCAAATATAATATTTTAAATTTATTTCTAATTTATTTTGTTGAATAGCTTTTATATAAAAGTTGTGGTATTATTGATAAAAAAAGCTAGTGATAAAATTTTTAGAACAAAAACACTAATAGTAAGTTAACTAGTGCTATTTTTTGAAGTTTATGGAGTGTGTGCTATTATTGTCAATAAAACTTGTTTTAGGGCCATTTTTAGGAATTTTTCAATAATTTATGAGGTTGTTTTTTTTTATTAGGATTATTTGACGAATTAATGATTAGATTCGTTTATTTATCTGCAAAAAGAGGTAAAAATATTTATTTATCAACTGTACATGAGTTTGCAGTGTGTTAGAATATCTTAAATTAGAAATAAAATGATTCAATAAAAGGATATGAATTCCACTCATTGCTAATTGAATTTTAATTAAATGCCATGATTTTCACAATATTATGGTCCAGCATTATGAACTACATTGAACGTTGATAAATAAATAGGTAAATTAGTGGTCATTTTGGTAAATTAAAACTCATCTTTTTTATAGCGAATCAAAATTGAAGGGTTTTGGTTGTCGTCGAAAGGAAAAACAATAGTTCCTGTCTCCTCAAGTCAATCAATTAAATGAATATAAGGTTTTTAGTCAAATTAGCTAGAGAAATTCACAGAAAGTCAATAAAATACTGCCTATATATACTGTGTATACAGTATAGTAGTATACTAACTAATAGTCAAAATTGTGGACTTTCATGGGACTATATTTGTTTACAGCTTAGGCAATCATTATGGACGGAAATTGATAATCTGATATATCCAAAGTCCAAACTCCTTAAAAAAAACATTTTTTCTAAGAAGACATTCAAATATTGTTTTTTTTTTTTTTTTTTTTGTCATCTGGAATTAAATTGAAATTTTGGAGTAACCAAAAGATTCCAACAGGCTACACTAAGTCAAAGACAAAAGAACTAGTTAGCCTAAACTACCACCATCTCCACTACCAACCCACAGAGGTCTATACAAAAGAATGCTCTCACAGCAAATGGAAACACTTAAACCACAACCAAGACTTTAACCAAAAATGATCTCAAACTCTGAGCATCATACCAACACACAAAAACTCACACACAAACAGAAGACAAACCTTCCTCATCAAGAAAGACACGGTTTAACCAAACCGGATGTCCAACAGCCACAAAAGATTGGCTTCTCGAGTCCCCTGTTACACTTTGGGCAATGAGGTTTGCTCCTCTGTTTGCTGCAGCAACTTCCAGTTCCAACCTCCACTCCAAAAACGGCAACATAGAATGATTTAAGGCAATGGCTTGAGCTTTGAA